GAGGAAGGAGTTACAGCAAAGAGGTTAAAACAAAAGAGCATTAAGGAGAGGGGGGGGGGGGCATCAGTGGCTCTCTCTCACAATGTGGTGTTACAGCGTTACTTCTTACTGAGATGTACAAAGTGTTGATGAGGCTCCTTATGGGTTCAAAATGAAGAGCATAAAGCAGAAGTGTGCAGAGACCTCTAGTGTTTAAACCTGGAGCTGCAGCGCCTGGATCAGAGCTGTCTGACGTGCAGCAGGAACAACTGTAGCCTGCGTGGTTTCAGGTTTTTGGCACTTCATCGCACCATGTTCATAATAAGATGATAAACGTGAAGTCTGACAACCAGCCAATGCTCACTGCTGAAATCATACCCTCGTCGACAGGAACAGAACAAATGTAATCCACAGAAGCTATTGTTTGCACACAGAGAGCCTTAATCTCACCAACATGGATCACAGAAAAGAGCTGATTGATGAAGCTTTTTATTGTCTGTTTAAGGAGATTTGGACAGCGGTGCATTTTACAGTTACAACATACACTTGTCCTTACAGATGTGCTATTAACTCCTCTGTCTGATTCAAACATATGGGTGAGGCAAAATGATATCATTACAGCACTAATCATATTTATAATAAGACAAATAGTAATGCACACTCAGACAAATGGCACGTGGGTAGTCTTCCCTCTGCTGCTGCCCTCTGTTGGTAAAAATCACAAATGGCTACCAGCAGCATGCTTTGTTCAAAACGCTTCTCCCAGGTCTCATTCAACTACTTGGCAAAATATTCTGAAAGCACTGGAAAAGTGGCAGCAGCTGAAAATTCTTCGCACGGTTAGTTGATAGTTTTTGCATAAGATAGAGTCAAAAAGCCTCTTAAACTGTTAAAAATTGAGAGTAGCTGTCATCGTAATTCTTTACAGCCATGAATAATAATTCCCGTTTAAACCTAGCACCCACAGAGAAGATGGTTTTAATCCTGCGGCTACCTACTGCTGCAGACTGCATCCCGTACTCCACCTAAGTCCCGGTGTATTAACAGGGCAAGGGTTAAAGTCAGGATTAGGGCTAAATGTAGCATTCCTGAAGGGTAAAGAATCATGCGTCAAATTAGATGTGATGGCCGACGGCCAGCACGAATCCTAAAACTGTAATGAAGCGATAGTTCCTCTGATTTTAGTAGTTGGCACAGATGGGGATAAAATAGGGTTCTATTTAAAAAATGCATGGTGATGGTTAAATTATTTCTCATTGAAGACCATTTGACCACTGACCGTTGGTCCTATCTGTGGGCCTGAGTGACACCTCACAGGTGTTCTGAGTGTCCAGAATCCGTCATGTGAGAGGCGCCCTGACAGCTGACGTTGAGGGAACAGTTACTTTCCCAATACTAGATATGCTGAAGGTGTTTTTCGGATGAGACTTGCAGGACGTGGACAAAGAGCGTCTTGTGGACCAGCGGGGTGGACCTCTGTTGGCTGGGCTGTGTGCTATTCAGCACAGCACCTGCTCAGACATCCATGTGTCCAAACAACTGTCCAAACTCAGAGACACACAACCTGCAGAGAGCGCGCTTCCCTCCCCAGCTGGCCTGCACGCAACTGTATTACAACTGCTGCGGCGTGAGGAATTCAAATTGAGAATTATTCTTAGTTGCAGCCTCAACATGGCATGCTAATACTCAGAACAGGACTTATCACCAACTTATCCGAAAGCTGTTCATATGGAGACGGAAATGATACATTTTCTGTCAGAACATTTTTCTTTTCTTTGAGCTCTTTCCGCCGGAATGTTGACATTAAAAGAAAATTCAACAAATATCCGAGAGTGTATGATATTATACGATATTCTGAAATCACCCTCTACGTGTCTTTTTCAGTCACCTTATTCTCCGTCAAACATTTAAGGTTGAATACAATTCCACTCTTTCAATAAAAGCCCAACAGAAGGCATGGTTTGGACATAATGAGATCACGTGTTGGGCAGTTCTCGGACACTTTAACAACTGACCCAGAGCCCTGCCAGGCAGCACAACAAATAACATGGTGGATATAACCAGAACACTTTGGGCCAGAGACAGGGAAGGACTTTTGGCTGGCTAAAATTACAGCCTGGCATCGGGCAGATTTAGAGCCGCAACACTAAAACACACCTGACTCGATGGTGTAGCTATCCTCTGTAAATACATATGTAATATAACTCCCACTCCCCTCTCCATGACTACTGACAAATTACCCAGAAGTGGGTTAAGCATTATGTCAGATATCTTTAGATTTGGTCGTCAGACACTAACATGACCACAGCGTGGTGACACTGTATGGAGTATAAACACCAAAATGAGTAATCATAACCTTCTCAGGGTGGACTATTTGGAAAACAAAAATAGGCTATGATGAATTTATAATTTAAAATAAATGTCTCAAGTTGCCTAACATTCTGTTTAGAGAGAAGTTTATTAGTCTACCAATTGCACGAGCTGTAGTCCATGATACCGAGAAAAAAGACTATAAAGAAAAAAGAATGACAGTAGACTATAATAAAAAATATCTAGAAATAAGACTACATTTTGCGCCAAAATCAAATAAGAACGCACAACATGGAGTCTAATAAAAACGTCGAGGTCATCGCGTAATAGCCACTTGGGCTTATTGTGCGGTGACCAGGGGCCAGAGCTCCAGGAGGACGTCCCTCTGCCGGAGGAGCGGTGCAGAGCGGGGACAGTGCGCGTTTGGAACGGGGGCGCGGGAAGGAGAGGCATCACTGGTCGGTGACCGTTCCAGAGCCCAACACCGGGAAATCACAATCCCACAATCACATGACGCTCGACGGATGCCCCCGTGTCCTACTCACAACCTGCACGAGACTCGCAAACATAGCAACGCACGTTTTCCTGACTACACATAAACAAGAATATACAGGATCCGCGTGAGTGGCGTGGATCCCCCCCTCCTCCTCCTCCCATAATGTTCCATTTAAATATTTCAATTTCAATTCACACGTTCACGTCCCAGCTCGCCTCAGCTTGTTACATTCACCCTTTCACCACTGATCTAAAATTGACTCACCCCCTCCCACCTGCACTTTGTGCCCAACACACTCACGCATTCACCAGTTCATCCTCTCATCCACTCCCTCACTCTTCAACTCAACAGTCATGTGAAGGATGGAACAAAAAAAACAACAACCCTCATTCACTTTCACCATCACCCTCCGTCGTTTTCACTCATTCACTCCTTAACTAAGCTGCCTTGGAGTAAACAAACGTGTCCGAGCGCAAATAAACAAAAACACAGGCAGCAACTTGAAGGGGGCAGGTGGAGGAGGGGGTGATACACTCCCCCGTGGACAGAGCTGCTTTTCTCCGCCCGGCTGTCGGTTATCAGCTGCCACACGCAAACAGATGACATCAAACTGTTTTCTCATTTAAATGCAACTTCAATTGACTGGACAATTAGCCGCTCTCCGGCCAGCAGCTCGCCATCAGGCTGCTGCTGAGGAGGGTCTCCCCTCTGAGAAGTCCCTCTGCCCCCTTTGGACTGATGTGCAACAGCCGAGATGGTGAGGTGACCAAACAAGGGGGGGTTAATAACCCCAAAATGATGCCACAAGTCAGATAATAACCTCCAAAAAAAGTCTGTGAAAAGCTCTACTTCAGAAGCTGAGACTTTCATATGGGAATCAAAATGGCGTTTCTGGGAGGGACACTTGAGCTGAAATTGAAAAGAAGAAATTACACCGCAGAATTTAGGATAAAAGTTTGTTATCCGGGAGAGTTTTTTTTTCTTTTGGTGCCTTGAAACGAAACCTCTCGCCCTCAGAAGGCGCAGATGTCAGAGGTGTTGTTGGCAGAGCTCTGATGCGCCAGTTCCTGAACAAAAGAAAGCCATCCCTGCATCCTGTGCTGAAGGACTTTGCTTTCGGCTGCAGTCCGCACCCCCCACCCCGCAGCTGGACCCACACCTGGCCGCAGGGTGGTCGCAGAAAGCTCTGACCCATGTCAAAAAATCCTGTGATGGGTCGCGTGACCCGCCATCAGAATCCCTGATCTTTTGGAGGTGTTGGCAACTTTCCTGACAATGGAGCTCGAGAGGCGACAGCCATAGTGATAGTTATAAGCAATTCTGCCCTAAAAGCAGCCGGCACAGCGAACCCCTGACCGGTGTTGTGACCGGAATAAAGCCCCACTACGGCCCCGACTGCCCCCCGCCACTTAGATAATGTGACATTTAATTTATAGGAGGTTTAACAGTAAATAATATCGACCACGTCACTCAAAGTGAATGGCCGGACTGTGTTAGTTGGGAAAATGTATCGATGTATTAAAAGGAAAAACGGACTCCTGCTCTGTCCGAACGACGTGCATCGGTCTGGGCAAAGATTCAATTTTCACGTGCGTCGCGTGACACCGGCCCCGGTTCCGTCCGTTTGGGTCAATTTAGCGCGAATTGGGCAAAATTGTTCACGGCGCGCGCTACTTCCAGCGGGTTTTCCTGGAATAAAAGTTGTTGGCTGGGGCGGAGGGGGGGGACGGAGTGTGTCGGCGGGAAGCCCAATGTCTCTGCTACCCGCCCGTGGGGTTCGGGGCCCCGGTACCCGTCCGCGGGGCTTAGATTTGACGTTAGTTGGAGGATGAAGAAACACAAACGGGACGGCGCCAGTTCCATGGAGTCCGCTAGATCAGCTGCTGGCAGTTGGTGTTCTCAATCACGTCCGCAGATAGGCTTCATAGGCTCACCGGAGCGCCCGTGGAATAAAACACCAAAGTGGACCGACACACCGGCGCGTGGCCTCTGAACGAAAGCTACGGCAAACGGTTTTTTTTTTTCTTGGGGGGGGACGTAAAAGGCAACGTAACCGGAAAGTTTGGACTTTGGAAAGGGCTTTTTGAACATTATTAACCGCACGTATATTTGACTCTTTTTCTGACGAGCGAACCGAGCCAGGGAGGGGGGGAAATTACACCTTCTGAGAGTTTTTTTTTTTGTTCCGTTAACTTCGCCGAGAGAAAAGACAACTATGGCAGAGACGTCGTCCACTCCAGCCAAAGCCAAAAAGGCGTCCAAGCCCAAGAAGCCGGCTTCCCACCCCAAGTACTCGGACATGATTAAAGCGGCTATCGTCCACGACGCCAGCCGGAGCGGCGCTTCCCGCCAGTCCATCCAGAAGTACGTCCGGAAGAACTACAAAGTGGGCGACAACGCCGACGTCCAGATCAAGATGGCCCTGAAGCGGCTGGTGGCGTCCGGGATGCTGCGCCACACCAAAGGCATCGGCGCGTCCGGCTCCTTCAGGCTGACCAAGCCGGAGGACACCAAGAAGTCCAGCAAGGCGGCACCGGCGCCGGCCGCCAAAGCCAAGAAAGTGGTCAAGCCCAAGCCCAAGAAGGCGGCCAAGCCCAAGAAGGTGCCCAAGACGCCGGAGAAGCCCAAGAAGGCGGCCGTGAAGAAAGTCAAGAAGGTCGCCAAGAAGGCGACCCCGGCCAAAGCCAAGAAGGCTCCGGCCAAGAAGCCCAAGGCGGTCAAGCCCAAGGCCAAACCGGCCAAGAAGGCGGCCAAGCCCAAGGCCAAGGCGGCCAAGAAGGGGGCCAAGACATCCAAAAAGAAGTAAAAACAAAACAAAAAAAAGGACAATATTGCAGCTACTGTAAATACTCGAGGAAATGTTTTCGTATATGTATTATTTTTGTAAGGTCTCATACAAACGTGTATGCTGTTTTTACCGGTAGTTTTTCTCTCTCCATTGCACTATAGCGTCAATAAGCTGTAGAGATAATTGTCTTTTTATTTCGTTATGAGTACTGTTGGTTTTTCTGTCTGATCATTGGACACAAATATACTAAGTCTGGCGTCTTGCTGAAGTGGGGGGGGGGGGGGGGGGGTGATGTACACTTAAACTAATGAATGGTGGTGGTCAGTGCCCGGCGGAGGTCAGGGGGTGTTCCTGAAGGCTCCACTGTCCTCCCCCAACGTCCACTCTGTATATTTTAGAATGTTCCGACGACTCTCCCCATAGTCAACCATCCCGCTGTGTTAAAGACTGTTTACATTGTAATTTAATAAACCCTTGCCATCTTCTAAAAAAAAAAGAAGAAAAACAAGAAAAAGTGTCAACTTATTGTGCGCGGTGGTGAAGGAGGCACTTCTGTGCGTGTCAGCGATAAAACTGCACACAAACAGGGCTCTTTAACGCGTCTGACAAAAAACAAAAAAAAACTCCTTATTTATGATGTAAATGCACCAGGACGTAGACGCAGCCCTAATGTAAGACAGAAAGATGTGGAAACATTCCCATGTCTGCTCATTGCCTCCTAACATACAATAAACTTTAGCGACACTCATCACAGAGTTAAAACATGTGACAAAGTGTGGAGAAACCTCACCCTCTGGCAGCTGTGAACATCTGGGTGTTGCATTCCGCGTGGGCGAAGACCGACGCCAAGCAGCTCTTTATCTGACTTATAAGATCATAAAGGCTACAGCGCAGGAGTGATGAGGAGTGATTTGATATCACCACCAGCCGTATTCCAGGACACACCCACCGTTACACCTGACAAACTGTGCTGCCATCTGGTGGGGCTTAGCAGGAACAGACTCCTCCTCATCCTCCTCCTCCTCACGGGCTGGATGACGAAGGTCAGGATTTAGTCCAAACGATCCTCCTAGTCGTCAGTATAGAGTCTAGATAGAAGATTAAACTGATCCACCATGATACATGTATCCAAATATGACTATGCCACGTGTTCTTGCAGATAGATTATCTGGGAGAGGGTAGTTGTTGTCACTTTCACATGGAAGTGGAACATCAAATCAGACAATAATCAGGATTTTGGGTTGCAACTCCAGTTTGAACACCGGGGGTTCCGACTAAATAAAGTGTGAGTGATTGATTGTGTAAAAAAATAATTAATTTGTTTTTAAGATGAATTAAGCAACCAGTGCCGGACATATGACCAAAGAATTAATAGAATTTTTATCCTTGATCTTAACTCCCATACATTTTTACCCCCCCAGAAGTCCCCACTCGACCCAGGTATTTTTTTTGCTTTGATTAAGAAAATAGTTTCAAAGTTCACAGAGGCTGCTCCCGTAGAAACAACAGGCCCTCTGCTAAATCCAGCAACAGTTGGGGAAACAATGCGCTGACGGAGTGTGTGCAGACACGTGATGCAACAGGGTTGGGAACAGAAAAGCACAGATTGCTGGTGTTTTTCAGTCTTATTGAAATCAAGTCCATTTCAAAGTCCACAGAGCAGTGGGAAACCAGAGGCAGAGATAAAAAACAAAACAAAAACGGACTACATTCTGTAGGAATACCATGATTTTCAAGGTTTGCTCGGCCTCCTTCCACAGCACACAGAAAGCCTTTGATTCATTGTAGATGCGAACACAAACAAATATCCTCCATATAAAAGCAAACCTTCATGCATAAGAGAGCGATCTCTTCCTACAGCCGCAGCTCCATGAAAGAGGTACTGCTAAAAACATGTTAACAATGAGGCTGAAGCTAAACAGCATGATTTATTAGCGGGCTGCGTGGTCCGCCTGAGGGGCAACAACATGCTACAACCGCCCATGGCCGCTCCAGTCGTTTGGCAATCAGATAATTATCTCCCGTCTGTGGGGTCTTGGTCAGAAAAAGGCAAGCACTGTTCCTGTAGGAGTCTGGGAGGCGTTCCATCATGATTGTTGTGGTTAAAACCGACTCCAATGCTCCCGTTTTGGTTTCAGTCATTTTGGCATTTTACCAGCTATGCTCAGAAACACTGCTCGTAATTTAAGAACTCCCAGGTAACACTCAGGAGACATTGGAAGGGGATAACAGTGGGCTTCACAGCCTTTTCGTGCAGACCCCCCCTTTAGGGACAGTGGCAGCATTTCGTTTTCTATCAAAGCACACGCGGGCTGTCTCCTGCTTAGACAACATAAGGCAAAAAAAATGTATAATGGGGAATTATACGATCACCAGTATCCGACTAACCTCTGGACAGCTGGGATCAAACAACTTCAAAGTGAGAAGGTTGCACTTAGAATGGCAGAAATGTGATGTGGACTCTGTTCAGTTCATTTGCAGTGGTCCTGGTTCTGGTCTCACAGGTTTGGTCTTGAGGGGTGGAAGTAAAACAACAACAAACTAATGAGAGACATGATCAAGCCGGTTGGTGGTCATTTCAGTCGGCCAACTGCTCTGTAGATGGCGAAGCCCAGGACCGCGGCCACAGCCGAGCCCAGGGCCACTCTTAGCCAGAACGACGCGTTGCTCACGTCTGAACCGTTCAGGTGTCTGCAAAGGGGAGGAAAAGAAATAACCCAGGGTTAGCCACCACGGATGTCATCATAAACTAAATAATTACATCAATAATGCTTTTTCCTCCACATCATCAGGCAGGATCTCTCTCTTCGTTTAATTGACTTCTGTATGTTGTTCTGGAGGAGCCCAGTGTTTGGACGTACGGGTACATAGCTGCCCAGGCCAGCTTGGTGTAGATGTTCTTGGTGGTGGAGTCTAGCAGCAGCAGGCTGGAGAAGGGCAGCGGTGGAGGCAGGCGGTGTTTATAGCAGAAATCGGCCGGAGTCATCCCGTGGAACTGTTTGGCTTCAGGAAGGTCCACTTTGGAGGCGACCAGCACACATGGGATGTTGCTCTCCATGTAATGTTGCTAAATAACAACATTATTAAAAAGAGGTTGGGAATAAATCATGAAAAATTCAGATGGCAAAAAAAAAGTACATTTCTAAACATTGTCATTCATGATCACAATGGTGGAAACACATTGGAGCAAGCAGGGTTTCAATCCAAGTAAAAGTTAGGTAAGATCCAGAAAGGTTTGATAAAAAATAAATAAAATCTCAAATTTGAATTGGGACATCACCAGCCCTCTATAAATCTCCAGCTAAGCTACAAACAGCTAAAGCTGATAAAGCGAGCATCAGCAGCTTGCATGTCTGTGGGTGAGGCATATCCAGCATGTTGTGACTCACCTTGTATATACTGGCACAATAGTTGAAAGAATGAGGGTCGCTTGCATCATACATGAGACAAGCAACATCACAGGAGGCGTCCGACGTCTTTAGGAACTCCGTCTCCACGTCTACCTCATTGAGCTGCAGAGGAAGCAGGAGACTGTGGCTCCAGGGCTTTGTCATTGTTAAAAAGGTTCCATTAGGATCACTACTTACAATCAGGTATTTCTCTTGGCTGCTAACGTGGACTGTATTTATGACATATGGTGAGAAGGCACTGCTGGGGTTCCCCTGATTCTAGAAAAGCCATAAAGAAAAAAACATAAGGAAACAGTTGAGCTTTTTTAGGCTTCAGCACAGAGACAAATATGAGCTCATCTAAGTTTGAATGAAATTTGTAATTTCAGGTTGTTTCATAGAGCCATACCAGAATGTTTCGACCCACGAAGGCCTGGAGAAAGGCTGTCTTGCCCGTCCCCCGTGGTCCAATCACCTTGCAGAGGAACACAGTTCTCTGAGTGTGACGCTTTTGCATATCCAACTGTTTCTCCTGTGTAACTGCACATGTTGAAGAGAAAGAAAGACACATTACTAAAAAAGCTAAAGCAGATCTCTATATGCTATTCTGATTCTGGACGGAGCGCTTCCTACTGGACAACCGATGGACAACCATAAAACCTTTCATGCTGACACCACACTTGCGTAGCTACAGGATGTGTAACAGTAGTAACAGTAAGGAGAATTACTATCACCACTAATCCCACTTTAAAGACGATCAGACTGCACATCAAAGCCAGTGAATGCACGTTCATACGTGTAGCCAGTCCCCTGAGCACATTTCAGCCCACACAAATGTGCTGACACATGCGATTTAACTACTCTGAAGTCAAAGTGGACTGTTCATGCAAAACAGGAAGGTCAGGAAGCGTGTGGAAACCTGACGGGCTGCAGTGGACGGGGTTATGATGTTGGTGATTAACTGTGAGTGAAACAATGCCCATGTCTTCCAAGGATTAGCGAGAAGCGGTCTCAGCCTTTCTATCGGTTTTGGGACAGATTAATCTCTCTCTCTCTCTCTCACTCACACACTCTCCCTCACTTACACACTCTCACACACTCAGACACACACACACTCTCTCACACACACAGACCTGTGACTGCAGCCGTCTGTGACTCTTGCTCAGTGAGGATTGGGTAACCTAGGTATCCAAGGTGCTCCAGGCAGCGGTGGATGTCGAGGTACGCGGAGAGCCTGCATGTGAAGGGCATGAGGGCGGGTGTTTAACAGCGCTGACAATAATCTGAGTGGAGGCTGTGCTGACGGCTGCAAGTGAGTCTCAACGCTTACATCCACTGACAGTGGTAGCCGTGATTGGAAATGTAGCCCTCGTCCGTGGTGGGTACGGCCTTGTAGACGTCGGCGCCCCAGGGCATGTAGGGACACACGCAGAACAGGTTCTTGAGCTCGGCTGGCGACAGGGCAGCGTCTTTATCCTGCCGGGGAAAACACACACCACCTCGTCACCGAAGGTCACCGCTCACTACATCACAAGGTAGTTTTTCCACAGGAGTTTAGGGCCCAGAGAGGCGGGGAGCACGGCCACTCACTTCGTCGTACTTGTCGAACAGCCGCTGGACAAACTGGTGGCCTAAGTGATTGAGCTCTGTGGAGCAGCCCGCGGGCACCCGCAGTCTGGACACACAAAACAGCCCCATTCAAAACAGGACAAAAAAAACTGCAGGTTTGAATGAACTACAACCACGTATGGGCTTATTTAAAGAACAGCTGCAGGAGTAGTGCAGTTTTGTTGACAGGGGACGCGGTGGCTGGCCTTACTCTGGGTACAGGTAGTCATCAGTCAGCTCCAGGTTGTCGTCGTAACCAAACTTCCTGAGGATGGTCCACGTGGTTTCATGCCGGCCTCTTTGGATAAATAATGTATTGAGAAACAAGAAACCTGGAATAGAGGGAAGGCGATACATGGCCGTCAGTTGAGAATAGGCCTTTAACAAAGGGGTGTAAAATGACATTTGCCCCACTGCGTTCTACCGTTCAGAGTCAGGCCGTTGTCCTGTACGCCATCACTGGTGTTCTTCCACACTACTGTCTTCACGTCCTCTAAGGCTTGGGGTGCCAGAGGATTCCCAAAACAAGATTTCTACAGGGAATAGATGAGATCTTTTTTTGTCAACAACATGCCTTGTCTGAAGAAGCGGCTGAGAAGTAAAATCTGTCTGTTACCTGAAACCTGTTGAGTTCGGCATCACTGAGGATTCGGTCGTTGTCCTGGTCAGAGATGTAGAAAATTCGGCTGAGGGCTCGCACACATGATGGTTTTAGCTGCCGAAAACAAGTTACGTAACTATCATTGATGTTTCTCCACAAATGGGACCGGGACAGGAAGGCTGACAGCCCAGAGCTGATATCACTTTCCAAAGAAAAAGAAAGCAGACCTGTTTGTCTTCAGGATCGTAAAGAGGAGCAGTGGGGTGGAGGACTGCCTTCTGCGCATAGTAGAAGAGCTCTGAGATGTTTTTCAGGTTCTTTGCAGAACACTAAGAAATAAAAAAGAAGCAGAAAGAGTTTTTTTTTCTTTTCCGATAATGATATTCAAAGCAATCTACGGCATGATAAAGTGAATGTGCAAATATTTGAATGAAACCAGGCAACTATCAGTGTCTGTTTGTCCCACAGTCAAACAAGTCTGTCAGAGTTAAGTTTCACCTCAACACAGGTCTCGATCTCAGAGAACTGGTTCATGATGGGAAGAATGGTTTCCATTGAGCTCCCACTACGCAGATCTGATTTGTTTCCAACAAGGATGATGGGAATCCTGAACCAAGGAGCAAACTCTCAGTATACACCATTATGAGTTGACATACAAATATCATAATTAAGCCTTTTTTTCTGCATGTTTTAGACATTTAGTCAATGTCTTAAAATATTACTCAACCAAACGTCTGTTAACATAACCAGACACCTATGGAAAGGAGTTTAACCTTCATCTGACAAGTTGTTCCACTTTTTATTTAGTCAACAACAACCCCCATCAGCTGATACATACTTTTTTCCTTTCTCTGCATCTCCGTTTACTAAAGGGATCCATTTGGTTTTAATCTGAAAAGCAAAGGGGCAGATGGATGAGTGAAAAGAGTAGAATCTACAGCATGAGGTCATAAAAAAGCAAACAGCAGATTATCACCTTGTCTATGGTGTCTTCATTGGTGACATCATACACCACACACACCACATTAGCCTGGACAAAGAAAACAAAACTCAAAAACTGACTCAGTTTTGCCGACATATTTAAGGGAGAGCATGGATAACCATAACTCATAAAGCTCAGTTTGATTCATTTTATATGTGCTTCTATAAAGTACCAATGGAATTGATGGTTTACTTTAAATTGGTCTACTTTTCTTTTGTTGGAACCTGCTTAGTGTATTTTTTAGAGCAGAATAGTGCGTTTACCTTGACGATCTCGTTTCGAAGGACCTCATCGCTCTGTTCTTTTTCTATTGACGTGAAGAATAAACAAAGAAACATTAAAAGTTGTCTTTTTTCAGACCAGCATGCAACATTTGTGGCTTCAATCAGACACATATGTGTTACAGCCTTTGCTTTAATCTGAAACAGATAACGGGGAAACATCTTTGTACAAATAATTTGGGGTGGGAATTTTTGGCATGCTCATCGTTATACCTGAGTAGTCCACAATATGCGTGGGCACCTTCTCTGGTGTTACATCAGCTGGTATGGTGATCTCCTCAGCCCTGGAGGGAACCTGGGAGAGAATGAGATGGATTTAAATCAAAGATTTCAAATCATTGTTAACCGTTACCAAAACTCAGTTATCGATCACACAGCCATTACGGTTACAGCCAAGACAATGCTAGCTTTCACTCATGTTAGGTCTTTCTTGTCTACTAAAAGACTTGTGAACACATTAGATTTAAGAGTTTTAACACAGTATAACAATTAAAGCAAAAATGAGTCCAATGCAGGGAACAAAAGTTCAGCTATTGGAGGAGGATGCTCAGACTTGCCTCCTCTGGGAACTCTTCTCCAACCAGGGACATGATGAGGGAGGTCTTCCCAACCTTGGCTGTTTGAGGAGACAATTTAAGGAGAAGCTGTCAGACACAGACCCATGGAACCTTCGTAGCTTGTATACTGATTTCACTCAGAAGTTTTAGAAATGCATATAAGAGCATGTGCTATGTCCTCTTTATAAAATTAATACATCTCCACGCTGATATTGACAGTAGGACCCTTATTGTGAGATGGAGCTGGCCGTCTGGCATTTGCATCTGGACAACAGCATTTAAACCTTATTAAATTATCCGAGTTGAAGATAGTTGAAAAAAATAAATTAAATCAAACTAACGGAATATGAAGCTGTTTGGCTTTCACTGGACAATTCGCCAAGAAACACTGTGAAAAGCTGAAACGCTTAAGTTGTGACAAGAGTCTGCTGAGCTACCTGCTAGCTTTTCTAGCAGAGCCAACTTTTTAACAAAAATACAATAAGCTAGCATGGCGGAAGTTAACATTGGAAAAAGCCATTCCTCACAAAACGAGTACATTTAAATGGAGAGCCACTCAGTTTTCTATGGTTAAACTATCTGAGTCCCAAAAGTAATTTAGATGAATTCTGATACAAGTTGGTAACTTAGTTAGCCGCTACAGCTAATGTTTGGTAGTGTGGCAGCTCGCTGTCGGCTGTCCGAGTGAGACTTACGTTCCCCTAACAAAAGTATCCTGACGTCTTGCTTCATGTTTCTTCAGTCTTCGAAGAACAGTTAGGCGAACTACAGTGGCATATCTTAAATCTGAATGTCAGATTTTTAGCTAAAACCAAACGTGTGCCACTTAGCAGAGATGTGCAGACAAGGTGAAACCATATCTTTCCGGTTCATTCCTACAGGACCTGCGGGAGGACACCCCCTACCGGACAAACTGGGTACTTCAACAGAGACATTGTTTTAAACTCTTTTCTCCCCAATGTTTAGAAATATTCATAGGTAAAGATATTAATTTCTGACATCCATTTGTGGGAAAAGTTTTAGAGATATACTGCTTAAAAATGCAATGAAAAAAAAAGGATGAAACAATAATTCAACAGGCCCACCAGCCAAATCCTGAGACTATTACTGATAATGAGGGGAATTTTACTTCCAACAAATGGAAATGGGAATTTTCCTCTGATACACATCTTCAGCTTATTAAAAAAATAACCTCATATCGTTTAATGGGTTATGATTACATCACTAGTCTTAAGTGTTTACATATAATTACAAAATGGTTGGCACTAGTTTTCTTTTATTTAACAGGTGGGACCATTTGACATCAAATATCATTGTCAATGAGTGAATTTTATTCCAATTATAAAATATATTTTGGATTTTAAAGACATGACTACCTGTCAAGATGATTTCCGGGTTAGTTTTTGGAGAAAAAAGGAAAGGTTTCTAGTTGCCTTGATTTCAATGTCTAGTCCAAGTAGACTAAAATAAAAAACATAAAAATGTGTGTTGGGAATAAGGGAGACAGATATCCTTTGAATTAAAGTCTTTGTGAGAGAATTTAACCAATGGTTTTAGAGACAGATATATATATATTCAGTATTCTGAGCAGAGGTCTGAGCTGCTAAGCACTCTTCCTTTATTTTAATCAAAAGATTGAGCAAAAAAAAGATCCAAACTGTGTGAGACAATGCTGAATGAAAACATATTGTTGATGCTGCCTTTTACTCCTGTTAAAATGCAGCCCACACCCAAATTCTATCTTACATTGCTATAGCTTACATTGGGAAAAATAAAATAAAATAAACTGGCAACATTTAAAACAACCTATTTAATAAAAAAAAGGTTTATTTCAAAACTATACATGTGCAATTAAAATATTACATACACAAACTCCAATCAGACTCGTCTCTGAAAACAATCAATTTAAGATTATTATGAAAAAATAATTCTGCGGCATGTGTGACAGCAGACAATCCTACGGTGCTACATGTTCAAAAATAGATTGCAGGCCTTCAAAAGCCCCGCACCTCCCACAGCAGGATCTCATTATAGGCCACAGAGAAAAGCAGCGACCCAGAGGGGGAGAAGTGACACGTCTGCAGTGAGTCACTGTGCTGCAAGAAATCTTGAAATTTGCCGTTGGTTGACGTGATCAGCTTCAACACCCGCTCTGATGAGGAAAAAAAAGAAAAAAAAAAAAAGACATTTAGTTGGAAACAGACTGCACAGAATTACCAAACTTTTGACAAGAATCTCTTCCCTAGAACTATTTGTGGATAAACAACTAAATTCCAGATTACCTTTTGATCCCACAGCAATGAGCTGACCGTTAGAGGACAGACTGATGCACGAGGCCCAGTGGGGCAGGGCAATCTTTTTTATTATCTGTTGTAAGAGAAAACATCTTAAGCTCTCCCACTCATCACTGAACATTCTGTCTGGGACACCATCCCTGACTGGGAACAGAAAATCACAACGCACGGTCGACCAGTGAAAAGGGTTTGATACCTGTTGTTTAGCCAGACTGTAAAAAGACAGTTCTTTCTCCACGCCGTAGCCAGTGTAGACCACCAGGCTATGATCTGTGGGCAAAAAGGCAGCCAGGCTGGGTGGAGGGCTGTCCCCCTAAAACATGGAAATGAGGGAAACTATGAAATGCCAAATGGAGCTAATGTCACAAAAAGAAAAAATCCTGTTGATAACTTAAAACTTTTTTTTTTTTTTAATTCCTCAAAATCAGTTAATTGTTAAGAATCTTTAAAACAGGACTACTCAAGGTCTTGGTTTTTATATCCTTCAACTTTTTCTTTGAAGACGTTAATGAGGTTCAATTGTAAAATTGCACAACTGTATTTCTGGTTACAGAAAATATTTTCCTGTGGATTATGGTACTTTTTACAATTTTCCATGCATGCAGGACAGTACTGATGAATGCAGGTGATGTGTTCAGCTGATGATAGTGAACGGTGATGATTTTATTTTTTCAGTACAGTATTATTCTAGTATACCCAGATCTAGTTTTTTGTTTCTAAATGTCAGTAAATTAGTGTGTGACTAATCAAGTATATCCACTGTTGAAGTAACCTCCAAGAACCATGACGACTCAAACTAAGACGCCAATTCCTACCGCAAAAAAGGCAGGAGCAGGAAATGACATCCAGTCCAGCAGATCACACTTCTTCTTAGACCAGTCAGCAGCCCACACACTGACACGCCTGTCAGCACTGGCAGCCAACCACAGTTCATTTCCCTCCAGTCCAAACTTCTTGCACTGAGGATAAGGAGATGAAACAGCTTCAGGAACAGTCAGAAAATATGACAAAATCACCTCTCATCTTTTTAAACAGCATCACATGGCGTCCAACTTGAAACTCTGCACCCACAGGCAGATTATTAGACCATGTTAAATAAGCAGCCATAGTGTTGCCGGGATTGTGTCTGAAAGAAGAAGAAACCAACTGCTCAGAAAGTGAGGGGGGTTTGGTTTCACACCAAATTAACATCTGAAAGTAAAAGTCTCCTGTGCACATATTAGGACACAATTAAGAAATCTGCATATGATCAAAGGATGATATGATGGTCTTAGCATACACATGGATGAAAGGGCAGCTGTCACTGCAAAAGGAATAAATAAAATGATCCTTTTCATGAACAGAAGCTCCCGTTTACAGAAACCTTTAAAAGATCAGAGGGGAGAGAAAATTAAGAGCTAAAATTAGGACATGCATGTCCAATCAGAAAAAGCAAAAAACTAAGAGTCAAATGCTACATTCTGTGATTACTGCTGCAGAAACCACTAAGTAATTTACCAATGTTTCATTTTCTGACTCTCAAGCTGAATTCTTAGCTGTCTTGGGATCTGATAAAGCTTCTCCTAGCTGGCTTCAGCGAGCTGACCTGTTCATTCACACACTGGACTGTGGTAATTGTTGCTCCTTTGTGGTCCTTTATGATCCTGAGAGTTGCTCCATCTAATAGGCTGCTGACAGCTACCAGGCCATTGTTCCCGGCTGAAAGGATAGCCCGACCTGTCAGAAGGGGGCAGATGATGACTGGAGAAACCATCGGCATTTGATTTAAATGCTCTGCCAGCACAGAGCACTCAAACTCATAGAGAAGTACATCTGAAGGCTCAAACTTGGACCTCTGAGTTCTGCTCTGAGTTACAGCCTTATAATGGTAACCCATTTGGGCAGGATGATAGCCCCTTTCAGGAGGGGTTTAAAAAGAAGAATAGGGCTCTTCTCTTCCACACAAACGCATGTGAACACACTGAGAAAATTACTTTAAGCACCAGTTTCTCTGATTTCCATAGTGACTGTGCTGAACAGCCAATCACATTGATCCCTTTCACAAAACTAAAGGAGGCCCAAAGATAAACGTTTTGGCCCAAACAAGACGCAAAACAGGTTCTAGAACCTCCGACAGTGCACCAGAGGGATTTTAAGGACTGCGTTTGTTTCTCACCGTTAGCAGAGTATTGTAATGCAGTGACAGCCACGTGATGGGGGTGCAGCTTCATCTCCATCTCTGTCGAAGCGAGCCGGAAGATCCTCAGGGTCCCGTCGCTGTATCCTGCTGCCAAACGGGTGTCGTCTGTGGTGGAAGGAGGGCTCCAGCACACACAGCCACAGGCCTAAACAAGAAAAACACAGAAAACTTTTTATATTGCTTGAATCATTCTAAAAGGAAATTTGGCTGTCCCACAGCACAGCTCTTTTTTCTTTGTGTCAGAGTTGTTTAGGAGTTTTAGTCTGCTGCCTTTAAAATAAACCAACAGGAAGCGGACTTTCCTCCACTGTTCCTTTCATGTGATGGACTCTCTCACCTGGTTGAGCACCTGGAACTGCACCAGCAGCTCATAGCTGGAAGTTGTCCACACCCTCACACTGCCGTCCTCGCTGCATGTGGCAAAGTGGCTCTCATCAAAGCTAAAGACGACATCGCGTACCTGGCAGCAGAGAAGACCACACAGACGATAAAACCTCCTGCAAAGAGAAAACTTTGTCTTCCATTGATTCAGCCTCTGCAGCCTATCCAGAATTATCTGCTCCCTGCAAAGAGCGTCAGTCTGTATAATAGCTTCGGTTTTTCTCCCAATTTTAACAACCTGGGCTTTTAAAATGTCAATAAATCTATGAAAAAATCTTTAATGCCAGCCTGTCTTTCTCATCACCACTGCAAGTTTGTTTTGGTTACTTAGCAATTAGAGTGATTCAACACTCTGATATTCATTGGCATACAGACTTTAAAAAACCTTTCACAACATAAAAATAAACAAACAAATAAAAAAGACATCCAATACAATTATGAAATGCTATTAAATTATTAAGTATAATTTGAATAAAGGTTTGACAGCACTTGATTTAAGACAGCCTCTAAAAAAGCAGATAATTAAATAGTAGAAGACAAATAATCTTTTCACTGGAACTTAATGACTGTTTGCTGCTTCCGTGATGTCACTTCAAGGTCCTTTTTTCAAGTCCAAACTTCTTTTTTTTAATCTATTTAAATTAATTATTGCCTCTGACAAGCAATTCATTTCTACTCTCAATGCAGCATTGGATTTTCACAATCAATGGTGGTAGGGGGAGATGTAAGCATGGCAATAGTTACTTTTTAAAATTTTTTAGAGTGGTGGCAATCAGCCGGTAGTTCCAGCTCTATTAGGGTATTTATCAAGAAGGTTGGCCGATGTACTTGAAATGGGGAGCGTCCTTATAAAAGTCAAAGGAGACTGATAACAGTGATGCAAGGTGTACTGAACTGTAGAAAACATTTTAGCCTTTGAAAGATCTCTATTGAGAACCAGTCCCTGCAGATCATTCACATTTATGTACTATTATAATACATCATCATCGTTTCAAACTCCCATAGTTAACTCCAAAAGGACGCTTATAATGACGGCTGGAGATGCAGAGTGTGTTTTTGGCTTAGTTTCCACCTACCAAAGCTCTCAGTTACCTTTGTTTTGTGTCCGCTAACCAACCGGATGGTGCTGTTATCCGACCAGTTGATGTACCACAGTGTGCCTGTTGTTGTGCCAACGATACCCATGTCCATCGTGTAGTCGAATGCTGCACTGACTATTGTTCCATCCAGCATTATCTCTTGCTCCACCACCACCGACGTCAGGCTTATGGACATAAACAGATGATTTTAAATGATGTCAAGAAATATGGTACTTTAATTTATTTTATTCACATTATCAAGCTGTTGCTGCACTTTTTTTCCCAGGACCACTCCTTAAACATGGAGGCGGACCGAAATGTTTATCTACTCTTCAAAGTCAGGAGACATTTTTGCAGCTGCAGAGTATTTAAATTCAGGCCAAAGTCAAACGGATTTCAAACGTTTCAGGTTCAGCCTGTGAGGCTGTTTATGGTGGATTTAACCATAGAGGAGAGATGTCTCCATCCCCATGTTTCAAAGCCCAGAAGTTGTACCTATCATCAAATGTTGCTGCTTTTTAAGGCTAGACATATCTTACTCTGATTATGGCAAAGAGCCAAGTTTAAACTTTCCCTTATCTCTAGCTAAGTTTTATCTTCATACTGACAACACTCGCATTTAGGGGGTGTTTGTGCGCCAGAGCAGCAATATGTGCACCGTCACTCCTGTATCCTTCAAATCCATGTAAGAGAATTGCACTGAACCTTTTTCAGATTTTACTTTGATTTGTCAAAGCCCTTCTTAAAAGATACTAATGTTACCAAACAGAGATTTCCATTTTTCTAAAACTGTAATAGTAATGTGATCCAAAGAGAGCGTGTTTGAGCAAACTGAACTGTACATTCAGCAATGCTGTGAACAAGCAAGACAGTTAGAGTCACTCCAAACAAAGATAGCCTGAATTTTTGGGATGCAGAATGAGTTTAACTAAAGTCCAAATGAGGCAACATTGTAAATCCGAATAATTCCCATGTCATATAGAAAACGTGGATTGATGTGTTGTTTTGATCGGATGAATGCCATTCTATATTGGTTCTCCTGTCCAGCCTTATACAGCTATGAATGTCAAGGGCAAATGCTTCGTATCGATGGACCTTTTATAAATTGTTCCCTCAGGCATGGCAGCAGCAGAGGGCGTAGAGACAGTGTCCACTGACAGTCAGCAGGAAAGAGGGGCTTTTTCTCACAGAGGGCGAATCTGCAGTGACTTTGGAGGAGCTTTAAAACAGGCCATGCAGACAGCACGTATCAGCTGTCTATTGGAAACATGGAGCTGAATTTTGACTGACAAATTCTGAGGATATGCGACAAACCCGTCTTGTGCTGTCAGAAATAGGCTGCATACCTGTCTTCTACACCACAGACTTTGTCTTGAGGCTTCATGTTCTGCAGAGCCTTCACCTCCCACAGCCGTAACCAGTGGGTGTTGCTGCCTGTCAACAAACGGTTTCCTCGACACAGCAGCATTCCTGCAACCGAAAACAAAGAAAAAATAAATGAAAAAACATCAGTTAGATTAGGATTTTTTTATTTTCATTGTCCAGGACAAAATAGGAGTGTGATAAAAACATTCTCATCCAAACTAGATAGTCATAGCTAGCAGATTAACAGATTTCTTTTTGTTTTTGTTACCAATCTCTCCATCATCAGCTTCCCAGATCATGAAGCAGCGTTGGGCGTTTATGTCCCAGGCACAAACGTGTCCTCGGTTTGTGCTCGTGAACAATAGGGAATCCATGTGGTAGCACAGAGCAGTCAGCTCCACATCACCCACCTCTGCAGGTGCTGTCACCCTTTGGACCTACAGGGGTAAAGAAATCATTTTGCACTAATCTGGATACAACACTGATCTTTATCAATAAATAACTAAATAAGGATCTGTAACTTCTAAGCAAGCATGCTAAAGATCCATGACAGGCCTTTCACATGCTAGTTAAGATGATCAAAATCATCATTAGTTTTTCTCTTGTATTTACCTTGAGGTCTACTTCTGAACCCAGTGTGTGGATGAGGCAGAAATAAACACCTTGGCTGCCCACACATGCCATCTGGCTGGAAGCTGAGGGGCTGAAGGCGGTATCATGGATTGGTCCTGATGGACTAATGCTGGAGAGCAGCTGAAATTTCTCGCTGCTCCAAAGTGCCAACCCTGGCTCGGAGAAGTCCCCTGGATGAAGTTGCAAAGAATCAGTTATCAGTCCCTTGGGCTGACACGTTTGCCCTACAATTTACAGGCCACACTTTTGCAGACCGACAAAGTTTTACCAACCGACAGACAGAAAGAAGCGGTCATCCCTGGAAAAAGCGAGACTCTGCACTGCCCCTTTGTGGTATGTGAGAGTGCTACGACAAGTTCCATTCTGGACGTCCCAGACGCAGATGAGGCTTCTGCTCCCGTTACCACTGCCAGCAGCAGACACTAGGGTCTTGGAAAATGATAAGACCAGTATAAATAATAGACGGATACAGAAAAACAATACATAACTGGTATCAGTAGATACATCAGTTATTGGTTGCAAGTTTCAGTAGTAGCAGTGATGGATGCCATCAATTAAATGAATGCCCTGATATGATTTAATCTGCTCCTTTTTAAAGAAAATATATGATAAGGTATTGGTGTAAGACCAATAGGGAGACAGTTTGCATGAATGTTGTTCTACAGGAGGCCCTGATGTGGACTGAAATGTTCCTTTCTCTTGAATAGTGCGAGATTAGAGATAGGGCTCTGCCCCCTTTGTACTCTAAATAAGGAAAAATAGGAACAGGGAATGTATGGATGGAGTAGTGCTCCAAACAGCCCTCTGTTACAGAGATATTTCAAGTCACATCAAAGGTAATTTTTCGAAAATTGGTCTTTCAAAGCACTTACAATTAATGACCACCAGACCTCAGCCTTTGCATGGCTGAAAGCCCTCAACCTGAAAGACCTCAGCCTTTGCATGGCTGAAAGCCCTCAACCTGAAAGACCTCAGTGGATTGGTGGATTCTGTCCTGTTATATAGCAGTGGATATTTAGAGAACGCACCTGTGCATCATTTGTGACTGCGAGGCAAGATATCTCCTCACTGTGGCCCTTGAAGTGTCTCTGACTGCCCGTGTGAAGGTACTCCACCACCACCACACAGCCACACGAGTATGCAAATAACCCTGTAATGGAAATCAATAGCTTGTGATGGCAAAGTAAAGAATACATACACAATTCACAGATGACATTTGGCATTTGAAAAGATTTTCTGTTCAACGTGTTCTGGTAACCTTGGTCAGGACTCCACACCATGTTGCTTCTGCCATTCCCATTATATCCGATCACTGCTTTGAGTGTCAGGCCCGATTCTTCTGGCTGAGTAGTAACGACTGTCTGGATTAGAGAAAATAGCACAATAGAGCACATGCACAAAAAACTCACTAAATGCAGTTATCAAACAACATATTATTTTACCTGATCAAGAGAGGAGGACTTGACACGTGGGACAAAATGTCTGTAACAATCTGGGCGCTTGTTCTGGCTCAGCTCATCTAAACGATAAAACAACCCATGCTATAAGTTTGGAAATACCTCAGAAACATATTCTAACAAATCCCAAACACACATGAAGCTAATTGTTTCTGCTAATAAAAGCCGGAAGACTCTTACAATTATCTCTGTGACTGGTAAGCAGTGGAGAAGCTTGGTCCAGGTCTGTAACTTTGAGAAAGGTGCCGGCAGCTCTGCTTTCAAAGGCTGGACTTGGAACTGCTGTATGTTCTTGAAATTGATTAGTAGGGTTTGCCGAGCCATCTTCACAAATAGACAAGGAACCCAAGCCTGCATAAAACAGAAGAAAAAAACCCACTGTCTTCAATCCATTTTATACAAATTTAAAAGAATCTAATTCATTATCCTTTACTTTCCATGCCTTGCACAATAGGGTTTATTGTAAATTCTGCACATATTTGAATAATTGTTCTTTTATACAAAAGAAAAGCCAATGCCAATAATTCAGAGAGGAACTCTGTGTATGAGTTCTACAGTGTGCTAACTGTCAGCACACACTTTTTTGTATCTTTCCTCTTTCAGTTTAGCAAAGAAGCAAAACTTTCTTTGCTTCCAGCAGAAATGTGACGATCCTTTGTGTTTTTGAATAACCTGAGTCAATAACATATATAGTAAATATGCATTTTTTAAAAAAGGAATAAGCATGCAGTACGGTCCAGAGGAACCCACCTGCCTGCAAAACTTGGTCATTGGTGCTGACATCCAGCTGTGGCGGCGAGGTAGGGAGGGGGGCCGTCTGCCGAGGCATCCCCTTGGACAGCTGTACTACATTCACTTTAGTACCTTGTTGAACAGTAACATGAAATGGTAAAGTCATTCATGTTTATGGGCTACATTCAAGAGCCAATAAATCATAAATATGTTATTTAAGCAATTCTGAGGTCTTATAAAGTTTAAATCAGGCACCTGCTTTTGGATCTGAGGTCTGGTTTACTTGTGATGGGCTATGGAGAGAGTGGATCAAAAATTTAACAACAAATTAAACACACTGTAACAAATATGCAGATAAAGCACATACAAGCTCATTACCAACTATCACGCAAAGGATCAACAGGATTTGCCAGGAATTCCCACAGAAATATGGCATCCCCCACCGAGACTACGCCTAATTGGTCAGGGGTGAAGCTGACCTGGCGAATGGGCTGACTGTGACCTATGAACATCTGGAGCAGGGACATGTTTCAGGTACATTCAACAAACAATCCGATTATTCTGACAGACTAAATTAAAAACAATTTCATACAAAGTATTAGAGATTTCAGATGGTGACTACGTGCACCTTGAAGTGGGTTAAATCGGGTTGTCCCAGACTAATCTGAACAAAGGTGTAAGGTTGGCGGCACCCAAACATATTCATTACAGATAGACTATTTCACTACCTGTGAGTTAACTTGGAGTTGCATGCTATAATCCCAAACTTTCACTGCGTTGTGTCCAGCTGTCAGCAAAAACCGACAATCCTCACTCACGGCAAGGGATGAGCACTGGTGTTTGTGCACATTGGTCACCTGGCAGGTCAGAAAAACCCAGAGAGAAAAAAAACACACTGACGCGTGACATATAGAAGATCAAACAAATGTGTATGAAGAAGCTTTGCAAACGACCAGCCCGACCTTCTCGTTAAAGTTTGTATCTATAGACATTTTTTTCACATCCTTCCAATGATGACGGCTTCTGACACAACTCTAATGTATTCTGCTTTAAGAGGTGAACTACTTGTTCATCCAAATACTGTTCTGATCTCTGTTATACTTTTGTCACATCATGCCTGCTCTCTCTGTTTTCAGTTACAATTCAACAAAATCTACAAATCAAAAAGTCTCTTATATATCTAACAAGGATGTATTGCCAATAACAACTGAGGGAAATTAGAAACAGCATAGGGAGAAGGTTGGCTTATGTGTTTAAGTTTGGCAAAATCACCTCTCGGACCAGACGGCCGGTCTTGGTGCTAAGCCACAGGATCTTATTTGCAGATGTGGCGATAAGCAAGTGCTCAGCAGAGACTGGAGAGAAGCAAACCTTCAGGGCAGTATCCAGCTGGGGGCTCTCTACATCTAAAATACTCACATCTACATGTAGCAACTGGACAGAGAGGGATCAAAATTAGGATTAGTTTGGACAAAGAGAGACAGAAGGACTTACACCAATGTGCTAAGATGATATGCTGAATGTATTGAATAGATGGAATTGTTGATGTAACTTTATAATAGCCATATCATAAAGTTCATAAATATTAAACATCAATCCATTTTACATACAACAGTGGGGCAGAGCGCAACCAACTCGTCATCGGGTGAAAGGCAGGTCTCACACTATATACAAGCCCTGATCATTTTGTGATACCATATCCTATTTTAATATATTTCTGAGTTGTAGAAAATGTAAATCACTTAATAGTGACAGATGGAAAATAATACCTCATCCAGAGAGCGAGCATCAGTGATGGTGACAATGTATTCTGAGGGACCAACAAAGGCCAGAAAGCAGCTGTCACTGCTCACTTTGAGAGCATCTGGAGCACGCTCAGTGCCACAGGCCACCACATTACCTGAAAAATTAGGTACAGAGTAAATCAAACTGTCAGCACACTAACAAAATTCAAGTATCATTGTGTTTATATACGTACATGCTACTCTGATAACAGGGTGATCTTCCTCTGAGGCGTTATAAAGTGCCAGGGAACCCTGTGAATCAGCACTGTACATGAACTCTCCATCTAAAGAGAAGGCAAGACCAACCACCTCACCTCTGTGCTGCCTAGTTCAAAAGAGGAAAGAAAGCTGAAAATTTGTGTTTTTCTGTTATGGCTGAAGAGACATCCAGGCAAGATACCACATACCTGTGCTCAGCCAGAAGTTTGGCACTGGATATATCGAAGACTCTGACAATACCAGAGCTGAACCCACAAGAAAAGGTCTGCTCGTGTGGATGGAAAGCCACAGAACTGGGGCTGTCCTCAGAGACAAAATCATATAGCTAAAGACAAGGGAACAGACTGTAAATGAGCCAAATGGAAGCAAAAGGTAAAGTTCAGAGTGTCAGCATCGTTAGTTTAATGATGAGCTTCTTACCGCATTTGTGTTCGTTACAGTTAAGAAACAGGGAATTTTGTAGTCATAACTGCCAACATATACAAAAAAAAAAGAGCTGTGCTTGGCCTTGTCAGTCCAACTGACATTAAGCCTGAAACTTTTCTCTTGTTAAAATAACAAACAAAATCCCGGATACAATTCTATGGAGATGATAATAATTTCATTTGACCCGTGACACACCTCCATAAAAAACACAAACATGAAAATGTCACTGGAAACAAAAGTAAACATAAATATGAAGTTTAGTGACCTGGAGCAGAGAATCCATATTCCAGATGCGCACGGTGCCATCAGAGGAAGCTGTCGTGAGATGTCGACGAATACCATCCACACTGAAGCCAAGCACCGTGTCTGTGTGCGACCTCATCAAAGTGTTGTAGCCACGGCTGCTCACATCCAGAAAACCCAAGTTACCAGAAGAAGTGGCAGATAGCACCTGAAGGCTGTCAAATGAGACCGACACCACGCTCACAGGCCCTTCGTGCTCTGGAAAACAAATATGTGCCCGTTATGTCTGTGACGGTAAGAGACTGCATATATATTTTAGCCATATACTGTGTTCATGGATGTGAGTGTCAAAGCAAGGAATGTACATGTGTCACATCCGTTTTATTTGTGATAGCAGTTAGACCTGAGTGACAAAACCCATATTTAAAAATTGGAGCTGTTAAAAAAGCTTTTTTACATTTCTATATTTTTGTGTTATGTCACAAAAAAAAGAAACCATTTATCTGATAATAGAGATGCTGAAGACTAAAGCCTTGCCTGCAGAGGGTGGGAACCTGTTGCTTCTGTTACTCTGCTGTAGATAAATGTTATTCCATCCCTTGCTGTGCTTACCAGCTTCAAGGAAAACTGCAGAAAAATCCAGAGGCCAGAGTCGCAGGAAGCCATCCTCAGAGCCTGTGGCACAGAATGATGAGGAGACACCGATGCTGTTGATGGCAATTCCAGGACCTAGGATAGAGATACATTCCTGTATTACCCGTGGGAAGACACTGATATGATAACAAAGCACTCGATCTTTATCAGAGCATAATAAAATCAGCTTGTCCTTTATCAGGTGCCAAAATCAATACAATAAATGTAGCTGAATATCAACACACGGTATATTGTGGTACAGTATATACATGGTATTTACTGTGCTATTATCTATTTAATGAAAAACAACTTCAAAATTCAGACATGCCATGTAAAAAACGTGTACTTATACTTTTTTTGAAGGATCCATGAGGGTAAGTAGAAGCCAGGTGCAGCCAGCAAAATGCACTTAATATCTGGTTATTTGCATGAATAGTGTATAGGCCAGGGTGAGAATTTTAAATGTTAAAGCAAAAAAAATAAAAATAAAATGCTGTGGAAGTAAGCCACTTGTGTCTATGAGCGCAAATGCTTCAGGCTGACCAATACAGAGAGGGAGGTGATCATTTAAGTTTGCTTTGCAGCTAAGGGATCTGAGCATCTTTCGGTAAATCCATCCACAATGAACTCCTCTGTGTGCCAAAGTATTCACCAGACAAATACGAATGCGTCTGTCTCACAGATAAGGAAGTGAGCAACACATTTCCTGACTGACCTGAATTCAGACGTACCTGTGTTAAAGGTCAGCTTCTCTCTTCTCTCTGCATGCTGCTTCTCTGCAGGCATCAGCCTCCTCACATTCTTAATAGCGACTCTGCTGTAGTCTATCTCAAAAATGTATCCGCTCCGGCTGCTGGCATATCTATGGGAAAGCAGTGACCCTTTAACAGTGACCTTTTAATAAAGATAACATTTGGAATTCTTTTTAAGTTGAGCAAAGAAAGCCATGATGTTTTCAGTGAGTGATGCTCACAGAGTTCGATCGTCAATGTTCTGGTCTGAGAAGTTTCCCTCCTCAAAGGACACATCAGTGAAGTCCTGGGAGTGGTATTCACCCAGGTTAACTGGACAGGATCGCAGAGTCCCATTTCGCACTCGCCAAAGACGAATATTGTCACGACCACAAGACACCATCCTGATGGCATCACAGCATCAGGTTAACACACTCTGACCTCTGAATTACTGATTATTTTACCCAGAAAATTCTTGACCAGAATGGAGAGTAAATATACATTTGCAGGTACATTTAGACAATCAACTCATCTTTCTATGCAAAAAAACAAATCCCATAATGAGGAATCCTCGATTGTTCCTTGAGGGAATCTGTCAGCAAACAGCTAGACTTCCTTGCTGTGACTATATACTGCCAGGGGAAACACTAATGAATCATATTATGCATACATGGCATTTAGAAGAAATCATCTCATAAATAATGACATTCTTCACCCTACAGGTAGTAGAAGGACTAACACCGCTCTATGTTGCCACCAGTAGTTGCGGTACTTAGAGCCAGCTGGTGAGAGTATAATGTACCATCCAGTGCTCAGGATGACTGTATTTGTTGGATCCCCATGTTTTTTGCAGTGTAAATACAGCTGCAGTCTGCCGTCTGAAAAGCCCATATCAGTTTCAGGCATATACAATTTTGACCAACTACTGTACTGCAACATGCACTGTTTGCTTCCGAAATGCATGGAAAATGTAAGCATGGAGTGGGCTGCATACCTTGTGTCATCAAAGAAGGCCACCTTCATGGTACTAATGTCCACGTCTGTGTGTGCTTTGGCTAAGATGGCTGCAGTTCCACCTTTAACAACGTTGCGAGTGTTCCACACCACAACCATCTGTGAAACATCAGCAGGTAACTTTTTCTGGTCGAGCAGGCGTGTCAAAGCAGAGCATGTCATGCAAATTATGTAGCTGAGCTAATACAGCTGATTATATGACCATCTAATAGCTGCTAACATGCTGCATGGTTTGATTTTCTAATGAACCAATCAGAAACTAATGCAAAGGGTTTTTTGTGCAGTTAATTGAATTAGCACATCTTACCGTTTTATTGTGGCTGTCCTTACCCACTCCACAGAGAATGCCACCTCCATATGAGAAGCTTCAGGTAGAGCAGAGTTTAATGACAAAGATTAAGTTAATGCATGGCACTTAAGTTAGCGTGAGAAACAGCTTGAGTAGATCAAGCAGATTTTTTTTGGTCACCTAAGGCAGGATAAGGAGTGTGCGTGGATTCTAAAGGTGGAAAGGCAGATCCCTTTGCTGTAGTTCCACACTCGAATTGCGCTATTTTTGCCGGTTTGTGCTGAAGCCAGCAGTGTTGTGTCGCCATTAAAAGCCAGTGCAGACACCTACAGAGACGGCACAAGATTTTCAAAGGGATTAATTTCTGCTACCTCGTGCCGTATGCCCAACGCAACTGAACATTAACTGCAAAAATGACCTGAATTATCCCTGAACTTATCTAGGATGGGACAGGTGTTGCGGGTTCTCTCTCACACGTGGGAAGATGCATCACAGCTTGCTTACCTTATCAGTGTGGCCGATGAAGAATCTCTGTTGGTTTGAAGATATTTTCATGGAGACGATAATTGCATGACACGGATACACCACTGCATCGGCTGATTTGGTCCACAGGGCCTATAGCACCATAAGGCAGGGCACTTAAAACTCCAGATGCGCTTCACTAAGAACATTCAAGGAAAGTCCAAATGAGCATACATATCTGGTGGTGGCTCCTCCAAACCCGATGATTCGACTGAGTCTGAGGATCGGATCTGGGAACAGCTTCTAAAAAGGATAAAAACATGTTTTATAATAAGCTTTTGAGTAAGGCTTGGGAGCTGTTTTCATTTAAGTTTTCATGTCTAACCTCTTGTTTGACTTCTTTGTACAGTGGCAGAGCAGCAGCACTTGAAACAGGAGAGCACAGCAGCTGCAAAACAGGATGTTTGTCTAATGTTAGTGTAAATTAGGCTGAACAAAAACACTGTGCTGTCTACAGCACAGAAAAGACAGCAAAGCACAATAAAGAGAGAGGGACTGATGAGGTGAGTAGACTTTTCGTTCTCAAGTCCTCAAGATAAGACAAATGATCACCTCTTCTACACTTTCCTCTCCATGTGAGCTGAATTCATCTTCAGGATGCACATACACATGAACTCCACCTTCATCTGTGTCACAGGGTGACCTGGAAGACAGCTGCTGTGAGCTGGAGTGTGCTGATTCCTGCAGCTGGCACTCATCAAAGGGAGACAAATCCTTCTGGTGAGTGGTGACAGTGCCCAAGTCAGGTATACTGGATACCACTGGAGTGAAATTCCTTGGGAGCTTAATTAAGGAAAAAAGCGAGATGCCTCCTTAAAACTTTGACATTAACATGATGCACAATACATGCTGAAAGCCTAAGATGACAGACTTAATGTAAACAATCTTACTGTTTTTGGGGTGGTGAGCTGCTGGATGAGGGAAACACGGTCTTTAACTGGTTTGCTGAGGTTAACACAGCAGGGCTCTTCTCTCACTGGGCTTCTTCCCTTTGAAACAATTTCTAAGAAAGAGATGTTAAAGAAAAAACAAAAAAACATTACGCCCAAATGTCATTAACAAGACAAAGACATTAAAGTTTCAAAGTTTACCAAACATTTAAGAAAAACTGCATAAGAAGAAATTACTCAAAAGCAAAATCATCAGAACTACCAATAAGACTACAATTCCTTCGCAGAAAGAAAGGTCATTAATGTTTTCATATTTTTTAGGGAAAAAAAGAAAATAAATCTGACATGTTTGGTTGTTCCTTCATATTCTTGTACATCTCAGAATATTTTTGTAATTTGCCCAGCTAAGCCATTAAAATCATTGTAGTTTATATTGACAGCTTGAATCAAAGAATTGTAAAATCTTACTTTATTTATTGAAGCACAATCTGTCTTTAAAAATACATAAAAAGCATTTCTCTTTAAATCTGTTTAGTCTTAATAACTTACATCTGAGGATTGTAGCACTTTCATATGGTAAAAAGCTTGAACAATAATGGAATGTGAACATAAGGAATGTGAAAACAATGAAGAACATTTTTCACAACATACCAGCTTGTGGATGCATACTGTCTTTCTGGAAGGAGTCGAAGGGTAACTTTGTACCCTCTGAAGGAAACCTGGAGGACAAAACATGAGGCTTTGAGGCCACAAAATGAAGGTCAGACCTTAGAAGAAATTCAGTGAGTAACATGTCTGTACTTGATGTGATCGTAGAGGTCATGCCAGGAGCCTCCCTTCGGCACAGGGAATGACATCTCTCTGGGCATGGCACCTGTTCCCCGAGAAGAGGTCAGACCCATCTGCTTTGCCTCACTGAAGGAAACTCCTAGGAAACAAGAGCAGTACTTTAGGAAGTTGAAAACACAGAAGTTCTCTGATAACCTGCAACATAGTTTCATACAGAGACAAAAAAAGCTATATCCTATGTTTTAACACTGACCAGGGTCTAGCAGTAGGTCACTGGTAAAAATGTTCTTCACGGCCATGTTGGCACACAGTTTAATACTCTTCAAGTAACTACAGCAGCAGTTGAGGTAGACAGATAGGGTGTAGTGCAGATCCAACATCAGACAGATCCAGCGCACTGACATGGGAGCAGGGCCCACCAAACCTGGATCACATAACCAGAAACATTGCCAGCTTTTTAACAGAGACATGCAAGATTCACACAGTTATGGATACCCTGCTTATAAGCAGAGGCTCGTGTGTGTGATTTCTTAATGGATCTCACCGTGTCTTGCAGATTTGGAGGTGCTTTCATAAATGGAATCTTTTGCAGCTCCACACAAGAAAGGAAATTGAAGCCATGTAGCCGTGGACTTGAACTCTCTGAACATGTTGGAAAAGGAGATGCGGACCACCTGGCCTTCCTGGACATGGAGTACAGAAATAGGACGGGTAATTTCTTAAAATAAAGCATCTATTTCACAATAAATAAATTTCCGAGGTGTGGACTCGTTATAATGCTGTTTGAGTCACAGCAAAATTGGCTGTTATTACAAATTTTTGAGAAACCTTAGCTGTAAGACTGGAACAATGAAGACATTCCTTTGAACATTTGTGTACTAAATGCTAAAAAAAGGGGAGCTTTACAGTCATCTTCTGAAAACAGTTGAATGAACTTGTGAAATAAAGTGTATTGTTGCTTTCAGAAACAATGTAAACACTCTTCATTTCACATCTTTAAATGTCAAGGATCATGAGGTCTTTTACCTTCACAGCGACATCAAGATGGACCACAAAGTATTTGCCAGGAGTGGGTCTGAACAGAAGGTAGAGGAAACGGCCGGTCAGCCCCAGAGACTGGTTTGTGTTTTTGGGAATAAGGATGTAGCTGTTGGCTGGAATGGGACCCTTGATCCGGAACACCGGACACCTCAGTGTCTTGTCCTAATGAATGTATTGCCAAACAAAATGTCAGGTAAGCTTATAAACAATTACAGTGGTTAACAAAGTTTTCTTCAGCAACAGTGTTAATTCGGATAGGCAAACTCTCACAAAGTGCACAGGGGCGTTAAGCATTGTTAGAAGTTCAGTTTGGACGTGTATCTTTAAATGTCAAATGTTTGGAGTGGAAGAGGCTACCGTATACGCTGACACATCCCCCTCTTTTGCCGCTTTCTTCCAGTCTTCAATCCTGACATGCTTGAATATGTTGACGTAAGGATGCTGCCAATCTGCGTTAGTTTGGGTAAAGAATGCAGTTAGCTCAGACTTTATATTTATTAGCTGAACAAAAGCTGTTCGTATTGACTCACAACATGAAGCTATAAGAAACCTTCACAGCGACGTTAATTAAAATGAATTAAGTTACCTTTGGAAGCCATCGAGAGCTAATTAAAAGACAATAATCCACCTGTTGATTCGTCAGTCTGCAGTACGTTAGCTAACAAAGAGAACAGTTAACTAAATAAGAGTAACGCCTCTTCTCCGTTTCCCAGAGCTTAAACAGTTATCTAATTCATGTCATTACAAGATTTCCTTTCAGAATTCAGACATTCTGAAAATAGCAAAGGGAATTTATCTTGTTACAGCAGTTATAGTCTTCCCGCTTCAGTCGCCGCTGTTGCCAGCAGTTCCCATGACGCCATGACGTATTACACACGGGGCTGGTGGGTAATGTAGTTTATTCTCCCAAAAAGCAGAATTAGCACCAAAACATATAAATACAGAAATGCTTTACAATGTTTTACACACATTTACTGTGGAAAATTACTTTAACATTTTCAGCTTATTTCATGACTTGGCTATTTTTGAGGTAATTCACTTGTCAAAAAGAATCCAATAAATACCAGGTCTCTGCTCAGATCCAAGTGCAGAGTAAGACAGGTAAAGTTAGCATGTTTTCTGACTTTAAAAATATATCAGCTCAATACTCAGACAATGAATGCACCATATCGTAGTTCTTTCAGACATCAATACATAGAAAATCAACAACTTCATTTTACATACATTTACAATACACATAGTGCAGAATATCTTTTTATATCAAACCACGTGGACCTACAATGAATAAATGGATCCCATCAGTCCGAGTCCACATTTAATACATTTGGGAGTAGCTCCACTGGGTCTTTAAGATGAATAAGGAAAGATGTCCGTATTGCCATAGATGACTCTCCAGTCTCATCTTGGCCCCCGTGCTGCAGGATGTTATCTATCTTCCCTACAAATGGAGAATGCATGAGAGAGGCATCTGCTTGTGGGGAAATTTGTTGAACGGGGCATCTGAAAATCTGTGAGCTGTTAGGAGTAGGTGAGCCATCTGGTGCTACTCTGATTGCTGAGGCAGAGGATCTGTTGCAGTCTGGAACTGTGGCAATAGAGAGAGTGTCTGCTTGAGATTCAAAAACAGCTAGTCACTGTCCACAGCACACAATTTCTGTCCTCCACAAGCTCAACTTCCTTTTCAGCTCTGTCTGCACCTGTAAAAAAAGAGTTGATTTGAGTCACTCGAGAGTTTAAATGGAAACTCAAATAAGCATGTCGCACCAGAAAAATTAAATTTGGCATGAAGACCAATTCAAAAACATACCTCATGTCTTTATATTATAACTTCCTTTCATCCCTTAACACATCTCAGTAGTTTAGCATAATCGGTCTTGTTAGTATTCCTATTAATTCTGCAAGTTTAACTCAGTTTTAAAATGAATTCAAACCACTAACCTCCTTATTGGCATAGCAGTAGAGTACAGCCACCAAAAAGCCCTGCAAAGAGACAAAAAAGCCTACCAAATATAAACGGAAACAGCTAATTTAAGACATGTTCACTGCTTCTACGTTTATTTTTTGAGTGTGAGGTTTTGTCTTATATCTGAAACATCTTCAATGCTGTTGTATTCTGTCTATAGTCTTTAAAATATGGGAAAAAATATAATCATTATCAAGAACTAGACATACTAAAGTTTTTTTACCTACCTGAAATGAGCTAATAAAGAGGGTAAAGAACACTTTTACATAACGAAATATGCCAGTTGTCTGCTCATCTGTAGCAAAGATGAAAATCACTTCATGAATGCCAAACAGAGGGATTAGGGTAAGGGTGGCCTTGGCAAGTCTAAAATGGCAAAAGAAATGGATCATATGTCTTATATGTGGCTTTATGTCAAAATGTATTCAGTAAAGGCTTTCTTAAGAGAGAAAAGTAGTGAGACCACTTGCCTCAGTTTGTAATCTGGGTATCGACTCTGATTGTTGGCTCTCAGTTTGGAAAATATGACCCCCAGGATCTTCATGAAAATCAGAAAGTTGATCTGTTGATCAGAAAATTAGATGAATTTGTCCATTCAGCTCAAAAAGATATTTCATTTGGAACATATTCCAGTAGATGTATGCGAAAGAAGACTAGGTTGAGTGTAAAATTAATATTTACAAGTGAAGAGAAAAGGACTGGGAAACGAATGATCCACCAGTAGTTCATGTTCTCATTTACAGCCCAACATCTAAGAAGAAAAGGTACGTATTACTTATCACTTTTTGTCCTGTCAACACATAGCGTCACCACACTCATAAAGCACATACAGTCCCTTACTCTTTGTTTTCTTTCAGTATCTTCATCACTACCCAGGGAAATACAAACAGGAGGGGGGTACCTGATGCAAAAACAGAATAAAAAACCTGATGTGTATTTCAGCTAAATAACTAAAGATACAAACAACATCTGTGTTTCCATCGAATAGCATTAAAAACTGCTCTGCTGATGTCAGATGATTAGTTTGATTCATTAAACAAAATTGTGTTCTCATCCGTTTCTCTTAATGCTCAGTTTTGTACAGAAACAATGAGGTACTTACCCCAGCAAAGACAGACGTAGGGCAAGTGTTTGTTGTTGTCAATGAACACAGAGGAAATAAGAACCGAGTACAAATAAATTGCCTCTCCAAAGAACCAACAATGATTGGCTAAGACACAATACTGCATCACCACCTGCGCTATCCTGCATCCAATTGCAGCCTAGTGGAAATGACATGGGAACAAAAACTGAATGAGACATAGCATAATCCCAACCTTTAAACTGGCCTTTGTGTGTTATTTGAAATCCTGCATTTTTTGTGGTAATCTCCACTGGTTGTGACATTTCAAAGCCTACCTGATGGCTGAGCATCTCCCTCACGTCGGCCTGTTTTAAAATTTCTCTTCCCCAGTGGCGATCCATCATTGTGTCCTTAACAATGACTGCCACAGCTCGCAGGATGAAAGACACGAAGAGGTTGGCATGGATGTAGTTTCTGGTGCAGTGCAGTTTCCTGTAAGGAGACACAAAAGGAAATGTTGGTGAGTGCAATAAAAGCATGGAAAATAAGCATCTTTTGTTGATTTTCTTGAATGTGATGTGAAATCTTCATAGATCCACACCTCCTATATTGCATGACAAAAATGTGCAATTTTTTACCTCACTCACAAAAGACAAGGTTTTTACTTTCACCACCTTTTTTTTTTTTTTTACCTGAAACTCAGAAGAATGATGAGGGCCAATGAGAGAGTGGACAAGGACAAGGAATAGCCCACAGTGTACAACATTCTGAAGCTCACCATCAGCTTTTCGAACCACAGCTGAAAACACAATTCCACACTTTTATGAATCAGATATCCATCATTTGCAAACATTGACAATAAATGTGACTATATTTAGGAAAAAATAGAAAATAATTGCTTCCTGCACATTCTGTTGACATTTACAGTAGAACCATGATTCGCATGCTAATTATGAACGAATTGATTCATTGTACTCATGCTAAAAAAAGCAGTCTGTAAGCAAATTATCTTATTTAGCATTTTCACTCAACATAATAAAGAATGCAACATTTTGGAATTGAAATGTATTTTTCTCACGTAGTGTGAGAGCTAAAGGCCATGGGCAATCTTGCCACTTTGTCCTAGTTTTCCCATGGTTATATGACAACAAGGTAAACTGGATACTATTCTGAAGTCCAGTATAATGGAAAAACATATGTGCAGACAGATAAAAAGAAAATATGCGTTGAGATCAGAATAGAAGTTTCACAATTTTTTCAAACTTTACAGATTAAAGGCTCTAAAATCTGCTGTCGAAAAACATCTTGCTGCTCTTATCGCACCTCCTGAGAAACCACTTCTTTTTCCTCTTCACACTGGCTCTTGTCCCTCCACACCATCCCACTGTCGTCTCTCGCCCAGAGTCCATCAGACCCACATAGCCTGCGCACAACGCCTTGGGACACTAGAAGAGAAGCAGTCATTACCAATATGGTCATTTCATAATTAGTGGCCTTTTTTTAAGATACCTTGATTTGTTTGGAAGGTTAAAAAATTCTAAGGTCTCATATGTGGTGACATAAAAAAATATTGTTATAATGGATCTTAAAATAATCTTAAAATGAGGTTAAATATGACTCCATTAGGCATATGACTTGTGATTCATACATTGTGTGGTAGGCAGACTACCTCTCTATTGTGCAAGTCACTACATTACATTAAGCTTTAAATGCCAGCCCAGAAAGTTTGAACTTGAAAAATTGAACTTGTAAAGTAAAAAAGTAAATTTGAATGTTCATTTTGTCAGTTTAATCTAAGTCACTTCCGGAAGAGATTCACATTTAAACTACACTGAAATGAAAAGAAAAACAGAGATTCATATATATATATTTCTGTTACCTTTATCATACCATGGCAAGTAAAAAGGACATGAGATGTTGACCATAACACCAGCTGGAGCATCAGGCCAGCAGGCATATCTATCAAATGTCCTGTTACAGAACAAGCCTGCTGGAAAAGTGAAAAACAGGACTCTTTTTAAATGTAAGAATGGAATTTCATCTTAAAGAAGTACGACAGATTATGGAAGCTACACACAATGATAAACAAACCATAACCAACAGTCAGATTAATCAACAGACAGAGATTCTAACATAAATCTCAGAGAACACCCTGCCAATTACAAATCTACTGAAACTACTTTTACTACTTTTAATTTTCTTTTTCACTTTTTAACCAGGAAAATATATTATCACGAGGAACATTAGCTTTATTCCTGTGCCTGAACAAGAAATTAATAATGCAAATTTACAATACCAAAGTGAATTGCTATTATTTATCCATTTACTGTTTTTACTGCAAGTGCAAATTAAATTCCTTCATACCTTGAGGAAATGGTTCATTTTCCACCATCCTGACACATTCTTCTTTGTATTGGACCCATTTCCGATAAGTCTCCTCCAAGACTTTCCCCCTCACCGTCTCAAACTGTAAATAGAGGTTTATTTTATCCGGTATTCTTGGAGTAAAAAAAAAAAATCACTAGGGGACATTTGTTATATCTTGTTTCTCATGTGAACCAACCTTCAGCAGGCTGATAAACAGCAGGCAGATCGAAACCATTATGTGGAGCGTCTGGTGCATGAACACAGGTGCAGTCTTCCTATTAAAAAAACTGAGAGGAGGAAACGGGAGGGAAAATTGCAACCATTGATTTTTGAGGCCAACACTTGCTTATTCAGTTAGTTGCTGTTACAGTCATCTGAATGAAATGTGTGGGTGTATTCAGCCATTACATAATCTTAAACAGAAAATAAATTTGGTAAATCCAACCAAAAGCTTAAATTATTCTGTACTTGTGGTACTATTTACAACCCCACAATTATAAACAAGGAGTACCTAAAACATGTTGAGCTGAATGTCAACTTAAAAAACATACTAAATTCCATTGGAAACAATGCAATTTATTATGTTAATTTGATTGAATTGCTTTAGTTATTTACCCGGGTTTAATAAATACTGTAAATATAAAATAACCTGAAAAGATTTTTTCAACTAGTCATATTTTACAACCCTTTCCCACCCTTTGATCAAAGCACATCTTACTGATTAGCTAATTACTTTTTATATTCTGGCTCAATGCATTAGAATAATGATAGGCTAGAGAATTTCCTTACTACTTTCACAAACCACAACCTATTTGAACTCCTTCAAGTTATGCACAAATAGTTTTTTTTGTGATGTTGTCATGGTAATGACCAAACTCAGTTTGTCTGTGAGCCTAATAATTCCCTGGTTTTAGTGAAAGTTTGAGTTTTTTAGTTGTTGTTTTGGCTGGCACATATCTCACATCTTCTGATGCCACTGATAAAAGGTCCCTTACTCACAGCATGTCACACTGAGATCTAACATAACTTGGATGTAGTATCTAAAATGTTGCTTTTCAAATAATTTTCTTTCCAATATCTATGTTTGAAAAAACAAAAAACTATCACATCACTTAGTGATGCAGCTTATCTGCAAAATAGCAGGCAGAAATGGCACCCACGAAGACATTTTAATAATGATGTGGGGTCTCCAACTGTGGTGCTGTTGGAGACCCCACAGATTAACCTACAGCTCCGCAGTGGAACTAGATCTATTGTCAGTCTGAGCCCATGGGGTTTCTTGTCCCCTGCACTTGTTGGGGGTCCCTCCTCGGGCTCTGTGATGCCACTGTGTGTCAACTGATTTGATTTCTCGCTCTGGTGATATTTAACAATTGCTGCCTGTGGCAGAATGAGGGAATGCCTGTGGGTGCGGAGTCAAAAATAGAGACACAATTGGAGTAAATTCATGTCCCCTGACGTACTTTCACGACTTAGGGACTTTAATAACTGCACCCCATTTAGAGGCTCTGACAAGTACTCTAAGGTAGTAAATGGAGCAATAACGAGGGTTCAACAGAAGGAGCTTTGAGGGTTCCACCTACGTGAAATGTCTTGGAGCCCTTAAGGCACATTTAGGTACACTCTATTTTTCAAGGGTGCTTTGCTTTGCTTTGCTTCATTAAAAACAAGGTTGTCATAGGAAACATAATCAGGATTAGTCAGGATTGTATGCATGAAAACATTAACCCTATCAGCAGATATTAGATTAGAAAAATTATGGAACCACATTCAAATTCAAATCCAATCAAATCACTGTCATTTGCTGAGCACCTTGATAGATTTTACATCATGCATAACAATCATGTTTCTGTAAGGGTATTTTAATTAGACTTTCTTTAAAGATTACTATTTTCAACTGAATATGGAGATTTTGTTTTCTCTTAAGCTGTTTGTGCTTATGGGGATCTGCTGACTGAACAAGCTGCTCGTTTTTTTTTCTTCGTTTAAAAATGTTTTTTTTTTAGAAACTGAGATGGATTTATTTGACAGACTGCCATACATACTTAATGTGGTCAGTGCATTTCATTTGCACACCTTTTCCAAATATAGAAATAACTACAATTACGCTCAGCCGCTGACCACATCCCAGCCAGCTCGCTCCTGACGTGAATTCGTCAATCAGCCAGAGACAAAGCGCGATCCCTCCACCTCACTTGCACTTTTACACCTAACATTAGTTGTATGCTTCCTCATTTGTATCCCCTCGTTTTGCCAGACTCCATAATATTAACTGATAAACCCACGAAGCATGTTGAGAAGCTTTGCCAACGTGCAATGGGATTTCGGAAGTGTCCTCTCCGGAAAAAAGTGGAAGTTCCATGCTCCTTAAAGTATCAATTTGACCAAATTTCACCTGTGAAAACAACCCAAAAATATATACGTAGTCTATATAATAAAAAAAAAAAGATCAGTTCTCTTATTTACAGGAAAAAGCATTAAACAGCATGTAGTCACTTACGGCTGATCCATTCATCAGAAGGAATAGAAGGGAGAAGACGAGCCCAGGAATCCTGTTGGAAAGCCTTTGGTCCTGCGTTAGTCACAGACGCGATCTGAAGAGTGAAGTTAGAAGCTCATTTCACCGCCTGCCTCCTCAAGTCGTGACTGTGGCGGCAGGTTTTCCTCACAACCTGTCACAAACTACAGCAGAGAGTTAGGCAATTCAGAGGACCTCTCAAGTAGCTCTTCTCTGCTTTCTGAAAGAAAAAATTCTCTATCTATCTATCTATCTATCTATCTATCTATCTATCTATCTATCTATCTATCTATCTATCTATCTATCTATCTATCTATCTATCTATCTATCTATCTATCTATCTATCTATCTATCTATCTATGTTTTAAAAATATAATGCCTCATTGACCAGCCATGGTCTGTCTCTTTTACAGTGGTGTATGAATGTTTCCATCCAGAGGAAATGACTGCTTCCCAACATGCCAACCCCATTGTATCTTTGAAACTTAATGGAGGCCTGTTTCGTTGCATTTGGGGGGAGGACAGCCAGAGATTGCTCATGAATCAATACATGCTCATTCATACCAGCAGATTCGACAGCCTTTTCGTTTAAAAAAAACGAAAGAACAACAAAAGAATAAAACGCATTGCAGCCTAGGTTTGCAGAACGTTTACTGGAATATGAAGAAAGATGGAGGTGTCTGGTCATACATCATGGAACCAAATCAATTGAAAACCCGGCACAGCATTACAAACACCTCATTCAGGGACACCGGTGGAGCAGGGTGGTGGTGGTGGTGGTGGTGGTGGTGGGGGTGGTGGTGGGGGGGGGGCACGATGGGGCTTCTTCTGCAGCCACAGAGACAGCTACCACCGCTTTGGTTGTCAAAATACTGTAGATACCAAATACGAGTGAGCTTTCAGCCAAGGTAAATCCCTGCAGAAAAAAAGGTAATACAAAAGATTGCTTCATGTTATTGTTCTTATCATGAAGTCAACTGGAGGTAATGGATGATGGAGTTAAACACACTGCTTCTGTAATTTGACGTTCCTATTCGTTAAATAAATACTGAGAACTGGTGGAGAATATCACGTCTTTTTTCTTATTTAGAAGATTTGAAGAGTTATCACAGACAACATTTCTATCCTATGTTTTTATGTTAGTTGTATTTATATTATAGAGCTGAAAGGATAATGAGTGGCAAGAGGGAACCTCTTGTTGTTCCCAATCTTAAACTGAACTAAGGTAATCTGCAGCTGATCCCAACATAGCTCCTATGGAGAGAGAAAGATAATAGTTCTTTATGAAATGTTTTCAACCAGCGGGGTTTGTATGTTCATTTTGTATTGTGATGGAAACTTAATTCTGGATACTGAATCGTATCTGGAAGAGCAGTTCTTTCTTTTCATGGAATCTATCAATATCAACAATACAGGACAGCATGACTCCAACTGAGACACTAACAAGGCAATTATGTTATTATGTTATGTTAATATATAAGATTAAAGTTTATTTTCCTTTTCGCAAATCATATACTCCCCATCTCTGGAAAAAGGCAACTTTATTGTGAATTACATTTTCATTCTTTGGCTCGAAATAGCAGGCCTGTTAAGGCATGGCCGATGTTGATTTCTTTACCATTTCCTGGGTGTCAGTATTCCTTTATTATCTGTACGTATTACAAAGACTGCACAAAAGCGCCTGGGACCTCCCTTAAGTAAAACAATACATTAATGCTTCTTACTGGAATTACTTTGAGCGGTGTCACAGGGGGCTTAGTTAATTAGTGACCCATGGATTTTTAGTTGATGTTTACTTATCTGGGGAATAGTTTTATGGTCTTTGGGAGCTCACAACCCTCTGGACAGAATACCAAATCAAAATTCTGAATACTACGTTTGATGTGGTACTTCAGCTCGGCTCTTGAAGCACATTTATCATCCTATTTTCAAACTAACGGCTTAAAACAATGATTGAAGTGGAACATAACCATGTAAAAGCAATGTTCACATGTTTGCTCCTGTGCTTGTTGCATTTCAGATAACTATTGTAAATGTACTCTGAAATGAATTTAATTTTCTTTCTTTAATTAGCCTTTTTCAGAGAAAGTCTTAGTTTTTGTGCCTGTGAAGAATTCTGAGAAAGCAGCTGGTGTGAACAGATCATTAAGTTGAGTTTTAAAAAAAAAAGAGCCAAAAAGAAAATGTGAGGCACTTAGTGACTATTGAAATCAGACAAGGGTGACAGATTCTTTCATGATTTGCACATGTAACTCTTTGTATTTTCCCCACATATCAGATTCAGCCAGCTCAAGCCTTTGCACATGGACATCCATGGTGTATAACTTTGTTATGACTGGCTTGTTAAGGCTTTTCTATTTGCTACAGTAGTTTTAATCCTTTGCGTCCTGTAAAGTGGTAATTATCCCACCAACTCAACCCTTTGAGCTTGAATCTTCTAAGATCATCACATAGAAGCTTTTTTAGTTTTAGATTGTATTATATTTTTAGATAATATTGAATAAGAAAAGTACTTATCATTTACTTATCTATATATAAAGGGATATACTTTCTTAAACTTTCCTTCGAAATTTTCTCTCTGAAATGCTGATTGGATGCTGGTTTCCCCTGTAATGGAGCTTCAGCAGGTTGGCTCACATCAACCTGCTGAAATGATTAATTACATCCATCCTCCGTGGTTATTCAGTGGGTGTGGCTCATTGGTGTGTTTTTTCCAGTTTGGACTGAGCAGGCAGGTCATGCCTCCTCTGTTATGGAGTCTCTCTTTGCTTCCGGCCCTCACACCCGGACCTCATCGGGCCTCATTAGGAGCTGCTCCTCAGGCCCAGCAGGAGCAGTCAGGTTCTGCCAGAGTGACTTTCATCTAGCACAGTAATTAGGACTCTCTTTGTCAGCCATCAAATTATTGTGCTTTGGGTATATACCCGTGTCTCTGGGTGATCCCAGTTTTTCTCATTGAGTTCTGGACATGGCAACATGTCTTTTGTTTCTGTTCTGTCAGCCGTACTCAAATCTGATCCTACAAATAACAAACAATGGACAATTAATGAATGCCCCATGCCTGCCTGCTTTCCTGCCCACGTCTCAAGCAACTCCTCATGCAGCGACCACATGTCTTCAAAACTGCCCGACTTCTGTAAAGAGAAACATCCATCACTCAATACAGTCATTGGATATTTTTACCAGCCTTCCTTGTATCTCAGTTACTTAAATAAACAACTTATTTTCCCTTCTCTTACACACTTGGAGACACATGTGCTGTCTCCATACATCTCAGTGGATCATAAGGATCTTTAATTGGCCTCTGTACTTAGACTACTTAGACATCTCCTCTTTATTAAGCTCAGTTCAGTTCACTTACCAAGCGACTTCTTTTGAACGAGGGGCTGGGACCAGCCCATCGATCCCTTTCCCCATTACCTTCAGTGGTGGTCCAGTCTCTGAGATCTTTCAGTGTTTCTGTTCAGAACAAAACTAAACCAACACAAACCGAAACCCTTTGTCTTTTTATTTGATAGTTAACAGCTTTGTTTGGGCCGTAGGATGTGTTGAAAGCAAATCTGAAAAGTATTTTGTGATAACAGCAGTTTTTTTTCTTATTATAACAGAAGTGATATAAGATTAACAATTTGCCTATTAAGAATGCAACAGCTTGAGGTTTCCAAGGGAAAGAGGATATCTAGAACAGGTGTAACGGATACAAATGCAAAGTTTCTTCTGTTAAAGGAAATGTGACCAACCTGCTGCGTGCCGGTATGAAGTGGTTCGTTGACAGCAGTGTAGCCTTTCACTGCTGTGATTTACATCATGTAATTTACACCTTTGATTAGATGGAAGAAAATTAGTCACTTCTTGGAGTGTATTAGATTGTACTCTGGCCCAATAAAAAACACCTTATTAATTTGGACAATCATTTTAATCACTTAAAAAGACTTCATTAAAAATATTTCTTCAGATCACACACACGTGAGCTTAAAATGAAATGTGCACAAGTTACAAAGTCATAGAAATAATTTCAGTAGCAAATACCAAAGATTCATAGCTTCATAAAACCAAAGCAAACCAAAGTTTGCAGAATCAATTTTATTTATAGAAACCAGTTTCAAATGTGCAAACAGAGCAAAAAAATATATAATGACATCTTATTAAAAGAGAAAATAAAGGAGAATATACAGTGGTTCATCTTATTTCTTTAGAACTTAGTATACATTACAGCTATAGACATAAGGAATATGGTGTATCAAAAACAGTTTTCTCAATTCAATTTGTGCTTCGTCTTGTACTCAACAAATGGGACGGTTTATTTTAATAATAAATATTACAGTCAATCTAAATTTACAGAAAACAGCATGAAAGGAAGGTTAGCATGAACAACATTATATGGCTATAGATTGACTAACTTACAATATTTGCATGGGATAACAACTATTTTTTATGTTGAATTCTAAGAAGAAGTTCCTTTTTTCTTGGTTAGATGTCCACGACACAGCCAGAAGCACTGGCTCTTATCGCATCAGATATAACTTTTGCTCCAGATTCTCCAATGCCATTTCCCTGCAAACTATAAAAACAGTTTTAATCAGTGCAAATCGACAAATTAAACCAATCAAAACCAAAGAAATCTTACTTGATGTATGTTAGTTGGTGGTTTCCCTTTAAAGCTGTTGCAATGAATATGGCTCCATCCATGCCCAGAGAGTTCTCCTGCAGACTGGTAATTCATAGTCAATGAACATTTAATATGAATATATCCATATATCGGTGTTTGAGGAAAATAATTCAGACTTGTCAGAGAGTCTGAATATTTGAGTCACATTTCAAACTTTGAGTATAAAGGAGTCAGTGCATCTAAAATCTAATTCAGTTAAAATGTTTTACCAATAATACAAATAAAATACATTCTCCTCTTGAGATAGTCCTATAAAACAATTCTAGGAGCATCACTTGTGAAAAAGTCAAATAGAATAAACAATGAATCCAACGTAAATATCAATCCAGTGTCAAAAGCTTTGGTTTTTGTGCAGCACAGTAAGTTGTAGCCAGTTCTTACTTCAGAGACTTGAGGCTTCTGTTGCATTTCAGGGAGTTAGCCAGCGCTTTGGCCCCCTCCATCCCAATAGTGTTGCCTCGTAGACTGAAAAATGTAGAAAAATACTTTAAGAACAAAAAAAGCAAAACCTATGTTTGAGGTTCACAATAAATTGAGGTGTATGCACAAGGAAGACTGAAGCGGTCCCCATTATCTTCCCTTTTCCTTTCATATTTCAGACAACCTTCAGCTCACAGTGTGCTTTTCAAAACACACTTAGTTTAAGCTTTCATCTTAAAATGAGATTTTCCGTGTACGTTAGACCGCATAAAACAGCATTGTCTACATTAAGGCATGCGGTTATGCTAGAATTTCATGCATTTCTCATCATGATACAATAATAATACTATAATTATTTGAATTAAACTAAATCACAACGCACAACTTTGATTAATAAATGATGGGGGCAGTCCCAAGCAAATAAACAATATGTAACACAGGTCAAATTTAGTCAATTACTTTGTGTCTCGTACAACCTGGTTCTGTAGACTGAGGAGTTGATCCCTCATTTTTTGACCATTCAATCAGTGAATTATTGAGGTATCAGTTTGTTTGGATCTGGCCACTGTTCCTTCGTGAAATTAAGAAGTAAAAATCAATAAGTTCTAAAGTTCTTCCCACCAGTTCAATAGTAACTAAACTAACAGTAACTAAGAGCTTGGACTCACTCTAATGTTTGTAGAGTTTCGTTGGTCATCAGAGCTTCTGCCATTGCGACGGCTCCACTCGTACTTGCTGACACTCCCTGCAGACTAAAACCTCAGGAGTCAGTCATGACAGGAGGGGAGGCAAAATCAAAAATGTTGCATGCATACAAGTTTTCTAAATGTAAGATTTTTCTGTTTATCTGTGTGTACATTTTTCATCATTTGTTTGCCATTACAACTTGAACACAACACAAAAAGTGAACTGTAAACAACAATAATTCCAACCATAAGGTACGAAGCGACGTGTTGCTTTTCAAAGCTTCAGCCAGAAACACGACACCTTCGTTCCCGATTGCATTCTCCTGCAGACTGCCGAAAAAGATACAGGACAAAAATAAACACATGCTCTATCTTATGATTGACCCTAAATCCTTGTGACAACAATTTCCCATAAATGCTCACGAACAGATAAAAGTATGATCACGGAGCAGATTGCAATTTGAAAATTAATAGAAAGAAGGATGGGAGGTGAAGCAATGAACTATAGCAAAAAAGTGTTACTCTTACTCCAGGAGCTGCATGGTGGCGTTGGAGAGGAGTGCATGGGCCAGAGCTTTAGTAGCTGTGGACTTGATAAAATTCCACTGAAGACTGTAAAAAGAGAAAAAGAGGAACCAAGCATGAGTTATGACACATTTTTTCTGTCTATGAAATAAAGCTTTTAAAAACCTTAGAACAACTATCCACTATTTCTATTTATTCCGACGCAAGCTTGTCAATTGACTGCTTTTCACTGTTCAGTACAATAATGTGAGAAGTGTGCTTTCAATTCTAAATTCTTACATTTAAGAACATCTTTCAAAAGGGACTAAGAAAACAAACCCCTGGTCCCAAAGAGCCGCCTGTACAAAAACAGAAGGATTCAGACCTTCTTAGGTAATATGAGCTTTAGCTCAGGCTCTTCAGCAAATGAATCAGGTTATATCACCATGGCAACCAACGGGAAGCCTTATCTGCTCCAGAGCAGGTTAGGTTCTGATTTAATATCAGCAGGTTTGAAGCACTAGCTGTCAACCAAACTGCACAGAATACAATGAAAAAGACAGAGACATGTGCACAAAAACAGTAGTATTATTTTTTTTTTATCACAGCGTTTGAAATTCATTCAAAAGCTTCTTCATAAGAATCACCAGGGGCGAATGTTGACCTTTAAAGGTCCGCAACTATGTCAGTTCTGTTTATATCTCAAAATGATCGCTGAATAATTTCTAACTGTCTGCAGAATATTGTTTTACTTTTACTAAAAATTCCTGTTTGACAGACGAACAAGTTCTTCACGAAATGTAAATCCAAATGTCATTTTTTAAAACTGCAATTTAACTGCAGAAACCCTTACATTAATAAAAAAAAAGGTAAATATGTTACGATTTAATAAATAAGTAGCTTAGTATCATCCTGACCAACAAAATAAGCATGCAGACCTCAAGGTTCCTGTTTGAAGAGGATTTGCATTCTAGCAAAGCGCATACAGTCCACCAGAGATTTTAAATTTCCATACCTAAAAATTGGAACTGTGTGGTTTGGATTTACTGATTCCAAGCTCTCTGTTCTACTCACAGATTTTTGTGTTGAAAAACAAACCCAACTTACTGCAAAGAGGTCAGGCCTTGATTAAACTTGATTGCGTTGGCTATTGCTTGAACCCCTTCATCATGCAACAGGTTGGCTGTGAGACTACGATGCAGAAACATGACACACAACACACACACACACACACACGCAGAAATGGTAAACATTGACAGATACAAAAAGAGACTCACTTATTTCTGATTATCATTGGAACAGTGGAGTTGCTGTTTGTTAGGCATTAAATATGATAGAATAATGTCAGAATAGTGTCAAAGTACTTTAAAACAGTACACTTTCAAAATCTACTTTAGTTTAGAGAAGTCAGTTACACAATATTTGGGTCATTCTGTATGGTTTGAAAATATTCCACTGCCCTGATGACTCACTCTAGGTCTTGCAGGGAGTTGTTCTCCTTGAGGGCTTGGGCCATGTTCTTCGCTCCCTCCACCCCAATCGAGTTCTCCCTCAGGCTGAAAAGCAGGAAAAACATAGGGAAATTAAAATTGGGAGAGTTGCGAGAGTGGCATAATTTTAAAATCTAACCACAGAGCAAAGGGTTTCTCAATGATGGCTTACTTCAAGGAGACGAGGCCCCTGTTGAGCCTGAGGGCTTTGGTCAGGGCTGTCATTCCCCTGTTGCTGATGGAGTTACTCTGAAGTCTAAGGAGAAATAAAAGTTAGATGCCACTTTAATGAACAACATAAAAGAAAAGCTCCCCATTTTGTTCCATGCTTTTAGAATCCCAGCAGCTCCCCATGTTGCCAAATTATATTAGCAGTACACATGAATGTCTCATAATGAAAATGATCAGGCTGAATAGCACTACTGAGTAGAAGGCACTGACTGGAGTGAGAGCAGAGTGTGGTTGAGAGTCAAAGCTCCAGCCAGGGCGATTGTTCCTTTGTCCCCGAGCTGGTTACTACAAAGACTGAAAAGGAGAAGAAGAAAAAAAAAAAGCAAAGCCGCTGATCAGCATGTTAGGGCTTCTTTTCTATCTTTAGACATAAAAGCATTTTAATGGTTGATAAATCTGCAGCATGCTGTTAAGATAGCTTTTTTGCAACCGTTGCGGACATTTCTGATCACGCGTCAAATTATTTCAGAGATGTTTCAAGTAACAAATGTCACATCAAAAAGACATTTTTTTAAATTGCCTTCAGCAGTGATATACTGCAGTTTAAATTAATTCTACATAACTACATTCTGCTTCTACTATTTAAATTATCGTGTCAAATTATAGATCTTGATCTCGATGACTGACATACTAGCTTTTTAAAATGTTAATATAGACCTCCAGCTCAAGGCAACAATTAAAGTGAGATATTTTGATCTAATTGACTGTCATACAAAAGTAATTTGATTCAAAGATGAGTAGAAGAAATGTATATATAAACTGATTACATCAACTTTGTAAGAGTCTGATTTTTCTTCAGTGAATCTGCAATCCTTTGTGCTCCACGTGCTCCAATGGCATTTTTCCGTAAACTATAATTAGAGATACATGGAAGAGAATGTAATCAAAATTCCATAGAATATGCTAAATATATACTTAACTAATGAAAAATGCTGCAGGACCTACTTGAGAGATACCAGTTTGCGGTTGGACTGCAGTACCTCTGCAATGGCCTGAGCACCTTCCTCCTCGATGACGTTACTCTGGAAGCTGATGAGTGGTCAGGGAAATGGAACGGATTACCTCCAATAACTTTATATTTTCCTTGACTACATTTTTTAAGACGTTCTAGTGCATAAACAAAACATTTTGTACAGCTGCACTGACTTTATTGACATCAGGGCTTGATTCATTTTGAGAGCCTCCGCAAGAAACTTTGCGCCTTTCGAACCGATGTTGTTGCTCCGTAGGCTGAATAATAGAATCACAAACATAAAGAAAACAGAATTAAGCATAATAGATCCATATGATGAATCTAAAATCCCATAAAATAACTAAATACTAAGTAGCAATGTCTGTTTTATCTATATACACATAAAGAATAAGTGTAGCAAAAGAAGCACAAAGCTTGTTGTGAACTCAAACTTCTGTTAGATCCAGGTAAGAAAGAAATCTCACTTGAGAGACGTTAGCGTGCGATTCACCAAGAGGGCTCGGCTCAGAGCTTTGGCACCTTTGCTGCTGATTGCATTGTCTGCCAAACTGAGGGGATGAACAAAAGAAGAAGTAATCACTTAGGATAAATATATATACTTATATATATCCAGAGTAGTTGCGTTTCTCATTTCTGCACCAATCCTTTAATCACACGATGACCAATCTGGAGCTTTAAAAAGCATTGTAATCAGCACGGCTGATACTCGATAATAATTAATGGGTTGTGTCATTGTCAGAGCAATCAAACTACCTAATGGGACAAAGTGGTTTCAAAATGTTGGACTGCAACATGCACTTGGTTTGAGAAGAAATTCTAATTTGAATGGGATCTCACCTCATTTTCTGGATGTGGCAGTCTTTAGCACTCAGGAGGCTTCCTAGCAGCTCCATGACATCGTCTTTGAAGTGATTATTCTCCAACCTGTTCAGCGGTAAGCAAACAAGTTTCATTTTTCAAACTGTCACCTGAGCGTTAATGCTTAAGAGAGCTTACCTGAGGTGACTACAGTACAGCAGCTGTGGGAGCAGGCTTTTAACTGTTGTGCAGTTCAGAGAGCCTGTTAGGTTGGTCTGCTCGCTGCACACTGGGGAGACATGGAGCAGGAAACCTAGCACCACACAGTGACTCCGCGTCAGTTTTCCCGCCAAGCTGCCGTGCCGCAGGTCTTCTTCTACACTCCGCAGCAGCTCGGAATTTTGCAATTCCTGTAAACAATAAGCCAGGTTGACTGAACGCAGGGATACCACGGCACCTCCGCTGGCCAAAAGATCTTGCAAAAACCCAGCCGCCCATGTCTTCTGACTGCCATCGTCTTTCCCAATAGCCAGGAGCCCAGCCAGAGGTTTTAGCGCCGTTGGGCACAGCAGGCCCGTCAGGAAGCGAACAAACACATCCAAGTGACCATCTTCAGCTTGTTGCGAGTGCTGAAAGGCACTTCTGAAGTGATTTTGGAACCCAATCTTTGGCCATGACATGGTACTCTCTGAGAACAAGTCAAAGATGGCCCGCTTTGAGGAAACATGGTAGAATGTAGCGGCAAGGAACTCCTGTAGGATCAAATGTGTGAATCTGTAAGTTGTGTGGATGGCAGACTCTCCCCGAATAAGAACTCCAGAGCCCAGACTGCTTTGGGTTAACAACAGATCTATCCCATAGGCCCTGAGATCCTGTTCACTGAATGTGTACTTGTGCTTGATGAGCCCATAGAATGCAAGTCGTCCAAGGTTCCCCATCAGTTTACGATTGCTCCCATGAAGCTGCTCAGCTTTTAGAGGTTCCCTGCCTCTCGGTTCGCCTACTTCTGCTTTCATAGAGCAAAAATGGGCAAAAAGCTCGGTGCAGGTCCTGGGAAGGTTATCCTGACTTCCACTTTGCATGCTGTACAACAAGGTATCGGCCACCATCCAGCAGATGCTCGGTATATAGCACATCACCATTAAGATCTTATTGGACTCCAAGTGGGACCATATCATGGTGCCAAAATCCCTCTCAGAAAAGTGATGGTTCAGGAAGACCTGGATGTCTGCAGGGCTGAACCCTGGGATCTCTGTCACCCTGTCGACCAGTCCTCCAGGTATGAGGGCAGCTACTCCCGGCCTGGAGGTCAGCCACACACCTACATCGGGGAGGAGATTCCCTCGGATGATGTTGGTGATCAGGTCGTCGATAGAGACTTCTCGCTTCGGGTCGTCGCATGGGGCTGCATCTGAGAAATTCAAAACGGAGCGAAACTCATCCAAACCATCGAGTATGAGCAGAGTGCGGCAGGCACTACTCAGGACCAAACTGGGCTCCTCCAAATGAGGGAAAGCCATCTTGACCAGCTTCTCGGCTGAAAGCTTCTCCAGGGAGTTCAGCTCGCTGAAGGTGAAGGGTAAGACAAAGTGTACGTCTGTACAGATGGCCCCCTGACTCCACTGTCGGATAAAGTGTCGTACCCAGGTCGTCTTGCCGATACCCGCCACCCCAACTGTGAGGGAAACTCTGGGAGGTAAACTGACCCGCGTCAGGGGTTCGAACAGCTTGGCCAACCCCAGCTGTCTGAGGTGATTTCTCTGTCCCCCTCGAGTCACTCCCACCTGCATCAGGTCGTGTTCCTTTTGCTGGAGGTCAGAGAGTCCATCAACCATCATTAGGGTTCTTGAGGAGATGTTTAGTTTGGGGCAGCTCACCGAGTCCCTGTCTCGGTACTGTTCACATCGCCGCAACAGCACCTCCTTGTGCTTCTTTACTACGTTATCTGCAGTTGAAAAAACAAAAAAATGAAACAACAAAAGACCATATAAGCATTTGACAAGCAAACTTTTGAATAGGAGAATGATTTTCAGTGTGTTACTTCAATACTGTGGATACAACAGTCTTGAACAGCTTGAAGCACACAATCATTTGACGCCGAGAGTATTTTTTAACCAAGCAGCAGCAACCATTTACCACTGGTACTTTGCCTCATAAACGCTTAAACTACCCGCTGAGAGCCATTTTCCTTTACCTTTCAAAAAACGGAGCAACAAAGAGAGCAAATCGAAAGTAAGTGAACACTCACCATGGTTTATGATGAGCTGGGCAACCAGAGAATTGGAGCTCTCTATAAATCCCTGCAGGGCATCAGAGCCTTGACTTTCTTTGGCACCGACAATAGCGGTGAGCGTGTTAATCTGGTCCCCTAAGTGGCCTGCTTCCTTGATGTTCGTCTCCTCAGATGAAGTGAGCACATCCACCTCTCTCAGGTGGGTTAACATCTCCTCCAGGAAGCAAGGCGTAATGAAGCTTTGTAACTGGTTTTGGTGTTTTTGGATCCAACTCAGATCTGAAGTTAAGAGAGAAACACAATTCCTTGAGATGAAACACCCGTTTTGTCTTGAACTGTTTTCATCTCTCTGTTCTCCTCACACATTGCATGCTTCTAAAAATGGTCTGAAAATGTAATGATAACAGTAAACTGTCCATAAAAATATATGGAGTTAGATTTGTTGATCAAGTCAAGTCTATGGGGAAAAAAACAAATGTGAAGAGTGATCACATCAGCATGTGAGCACTGTTATTTTTGTTATGTCCTCTGGTTGTTCATAGCGGTCTGTTTGGATCAGTGTAATGTGAGAAAACATCTAATTTTTAGATCACTTTCATGTTTTTCGGTTTATCACAAACTGATCTAACAGTTGTGGAGGCGAGATCTACAGGGTCACATCGACGTGCTAAGTTTTACACTCAGCGAAGGCCATTGTGTGAGCAGCTAGCATGTTCCCATTTTGGATGTGTGGCTTGAAAGCTTGAAGTATCTTTAACGCCTGTGAGCCTTCAAACCCTTTTTATGGTTTACTCCAGGAAAGTAATAAATAAACACGCTGAGCATAATGACATCGGTCATCACTTTCTCTAAGCAGGAAAGTACAAATCTAATTTTTCCCACCATGATAATTCAGATGCCCAATGTCTATTAAATGCATAGAGTATAGTTCATTGAGACTAGTCCTTTTTCATACATTAAAATTAATCTGTTGAGCTATGCCATATTTTAAAAGTAATCATCCTTTAACAACTATGTGCTGGAAAGATTACATTTTCGGGAATTCAGGTGTAAATACAACCATGCCACAATAGCACAGAATTCTTAATAAAACAATATATGACAGAAAGATGCTGCCAACTGATAATTAAAGAGACAGATTTAATAATAATGATGCATGGTCACGTGTTTGCTTCTTGTACTTGTCTCTTTTACTTCTTTTACATTTTCTTTGAAGAAACTATTTGAATAAATTTAGGTACTGGATTTCATTGCACTACCACAAAATGGCCTTATCTTTCCTATCGTCCATGATTGCTAATGTTCCAGTAGAAGAGTGCATCTTTGCCACTGTAGGTTGGAGGGAACACAAAGCGTGCACATTAAAGCTCTTACCTTCTGCTTGTGCTTGTGCGGTAGCAGAGCAGGATGTGGACTGCAGATCCACGTAGCAGTCGGCCTGCCACGTGATGCGCTTGCTTCGGTCCATGATAGAATCATAATGTTCCCTTCTCTCCATGAAAAAGGTTGATGCTTTTAGACGTTGATGTTCTGCTTAGGTCTACATACAAAAAGCAGTTATTTAACGGAGCAAAGACGTAATGTAAAGCTGATAAAAAAAATGCCATTATACTCTCTGGACTGAATGCCTCCTGTATTTCATGGATACTTTAATAAGTCTATTTCCAGAATAACTGAAGAAAATTATTGGAAAGTACAGCCTCCTTATATTTTGTAAAGAAACTTTTGCCTTCTTCTTTAGATTTATATTTTCCTTTGCATACAATAGCCTGATTATGACATCACATGAACTTTAGATCTTGAAAAATGCATCAATACAATACATAGATTAGGTAATCTTAGATAAAAAACCAAACAGAAATGGTACATGATATTCTTCAAATACAAAGTAAACTAAAAAACTAATCTACCTGTGTAGCAACCATTAAGATTTCTGGCTAAATGACTTTCAAAATACAAAAAAGCATAGTGTATCTTAGCTATGTACACTTTTTCAGAGCAAACCTCAACTCTTCTAAAACCACTTCCTTAAAACAGATGACACCAAAGTGAAGATGATGTACGACATCATGCCTGGTGGAAACCAAACACGGCATATCAAGACAAACACCTAACCAACTGTCAGGTGAAGTGGTGGAGGGGTGATGATTTAAGCTACGGTGGCAGCCACTGGGACTGCCACCTTTTAGTCACGGAGTAAACCATGAACTCTACCAACCAAAGTGTTATCAGGTCAAATCTAAGGTATGAGTCTGACGGCTACAGCTTGGCTGAAATTCAGTCTTAAATTGGGATCATGGACCGAACCACAGTAGCAAATCTAGGACAGAACAGCCGGGAAGGAAAACATTGTGATGCAATAAACCGATTTAAGTCATTTTATGCTTGATTGAAATGCTGTGGCAGCAAAGAACGTTCATAAACAAGAACAAAGTTGTGAAGAGGAATGAGCTAAAGTAAGCCTGGGTTAACCGGCCTCATGGCCAACTGTAAATGAGCATTTTGTGTGACAAGAGATGGCTCTATAAGCAACTAAATAATTTTGTCTAAATATTTCTAAAAAACAATGAAAAGGTGCATTATGTTTGTCATTCACTTAACTTCTAAACCTGGAAGGGAACAATTATTTCAATATAATCCCATTCGCTACATTCACAGCTACACTCACAGCTACACTATGTATATCTCTCAGTATGGCATGTTTTTCCCAATGTCAGTCTGTAACTCACCTATACATGGGTAAAATGCCTTTTATTTCCCTTAACATCCAAATAAAAACAGGGTGACAGAAATGTCCACTTAAAACTAGACTTTCACTGAAATTAACAGGAAGCTGCAAATGCTTTCCTGTTCAGTTTTCAGCTTCTTACAAAGGAAGCCAAATTCAAAATGTTAGACCTCAAACGAGTTGGAGGCAGCTTACCAACTTCCGCTGTTAAGTCCGACCAACAGAAATTCATGACACATGTTCACATATTATCGCCGTGTTTGAAGTTGGCCCTAGAGTTTAACCATATTTTAAAGCCAAGTGCAGTAAAGACTGCATGTTGCACAAATTAGGCTTGATCAGCAAGGACAACCAAAAACAAGAAAATGAAAACAGAAAAAAAAACAAAAAAAAAACAAAAAAACAACTTACTCACCATAGGACTGTTGAAGATGGCTGTAACTGTCTGAAGATGGTGATCACAAAATTCACCGGCAACTTGTATGTCGACGCCATTATTCTCATGAAACACAGGATGGTAAATAATAAGCAGAGGAACATTAGGAGACTAAACTTTATCGAAATAGATGAGAGCAGACCGGATGGCGCATGAGCTCGCGGCAGCATGCAGTCAGCACTGAAGACATCATTTCATGCTACAGCATCTTCCTGTCTATCTTCCTGTCTTGTGGTTAGCAGGTTGAGAGAAAAAAAAAGAAAGGGCTCATGCTATGTACTTGTGCAGGCAACGTGAGGTTAAGCTGAAGCAGAAAGTTCTGCTGAGCTTCAGTCTTCTCAGACCGGTACTCGGGCTCTGCAGATGGTGTGAAACCACAGGCGTGTGTAGAAATGACAGACAACACTAGATGAAGCAAAACACAAAGGCACTGCAAATACACGGCAACCGGAGAAAAGTGGACACAACCAAGAAGTTTGGACGTCTGTCTTTTTTCCTTTTTTAAATGAAAAGAAAAGTCAAATGAAGAAAGGGAATAAAACTGTCCGTTATCGAAAACTTTTGAGTCTTCTTTGTTGATACCAGACAAATTGCCACCAAGCAAAGGAGCAAACTGTGAACACCGTCCATTGCAAATGGTGGCTGGTGTGTCAAGTAAAGGAGAAAAAAAAAAGACATCAGACAAAGATGTGACAAAGCAGTTGGTAAAAACCTTACTGCACATTTAAGAAAATAGTTTATTTCAACATGTGCATGACATTAGAAGAATGGACCAAATGGCTTGACCTCTGGAGATTTTTCCAGTGTTTCATGTTACATGTTGTTCAGTGTGTGAGTTCTCTGTGTGGGACAGTGAAAAACATCTGTAAATTCCTGTTTTCTCTTACTGATTTGTAACATTTTTGTAACAATGAACTTGAGCTATAGGTGGAAAATTTGTTTAAAAAAAACATGATAAAAACTTCCATGGCGTCACCTGAAAGTATCGTACTAAACTGTGTTCACTCAAACTTTTTCTTTTTTTAAACCCCCTAGCTTGTTCAGGACATTTCAATCAAGAGTGACAACATTTGCTTTTTACAGACACCATATTACACAAAATGTAAAATATTTAAGTTTACATTAAAATACATTTAATCTTAATGCATAAGAAACAACAAAGGGGAACCCTTTTTTTTTTTTTCTTTACAGCGAAACCCAAAAAGGCCTAATCTGTCTTTGCTGGTCTGCTTTTAAAAAGAAACTAGTCACATGGAAGCAGCAGCACTTCTGTTAACGCACCGTTAATTAGTTTCATTTTCACAGGGTTAAGTCTGCTTGACAAACAGACGAAGGAGAACATCCCACCGAGGTCATTTATGCAAACAAACTAGACTTCCGTGCAACTCAACAGACGAGGAAAGAAACAAAAAAGTGGTACTGTCCATAGTAACGACAGAGCAATCTGCTCAGCAGGGAGGAAAGGCACAGGAGATTCTTCTGGGCAAACACGGGAAACAGCTTTATATGCCATCACAAACATTCTTCATTTAAGTAAGGACCTCAGCTATACACATCCCTCTCTTCTCATTTTCAAATCTGGATAAATGTAAACAGTCTGCTTAGAGCAAGCACAAACAAGTGGTTAGAAACTAATCGGACAAGTTAGAGACTTTCACATTTAGGGGAAAACCAATCCCTCTGAGTGACTACTACCTAGTATGGACCGAGACAAGACGCAGGAAAGGAAGCGGGCTTCATTTTGAAGATTAAACGTGAGCTGAACTAATATCATAATAATAAAGCATGATGTTAAATCACTGCAACACCAGCGGAGCATCCTGCATAGATCAAAGGCTTGGTCAAATTGAAAGGCTTTATACATATACAAGTCACCAACAATAAGCACTTAGGACTCATTCAGGTATTTAAGAAAAAAAACAAACCTAAAAAAGAAACACTCCCTTTCTTCTTAATTTTCCAGACAGGCAAACAGTGTTCACAGGAAAAGATTGTACCTACATCCAAAAATATTTTACCATCTTGGCGTCCAGATTTCATGTCACTGAATCCAGGCAACATGTCACAATGTATCCTGTCACACTCTTCAAAAACAAAGTCACTATCAGCAGTGATCTCCCAAAGAGACAGAGAAGGACACTTCTGGTGGCAGTTGTTTCAGAAGAGCCGCACAATCAGTTATGTACACATCACCCCAGCCTCTGATTACCCTTGTCTGTTTCCCGCTCAGTCTTCCCAAACCAACAAGCGCTGCCAGATGGACACATGCTGATTAAAACACTGGATTATAGATCAGACAGCCCCTCGGCATGTTCACTCAGCTCCATGGTGGAATAGTCCAGCGGACGCCTGGGAACACAAACATAAAAAGACACACAAACTTAAGGCAGTGATAATGTGCATGCTGCTGGTCCGTGTTTGCTTCCAGAGCAGCTCAACGGCTACAGATCCTAATTCATTCTGAGATGCTGCGAGCTGGCAAAGTATCATGGAGATCTAATCGAACTGGGAAGAATTTGAGAATGCATGAGTGCTCTGTCAGTATTTGTTAAACTCTAAATTCAATAGCATCCCAACATGTGGAATTACTGAACATAGTCTGAAGTGGTCATAACAGACCATTTTAGTTTTGTGACCACTTTGATAAACTGCAATAAAACCCTGATAAAATGTCCTTGGATTCAACTACACCCAGGAAAATCGTTGTAATCTTTATGCTATATTTCTTCAAACACATCTACACACACAACCATCCACGATTGGCAATTTGGAATGTCCAATCAACCTAACATTCAGGGTTTTGGACAGTGGGAGGAAGCCGGAGAACCCAGAGAGAACCCACACAGACACAGGGAGAACATGCAAACTCCACACAGAAAGGTCCTGGTTCCCCCGGGGACTCGAACCCAGAACCCTCTTGCTGTGAGTTGATGCTGCTAACCACCGCACCACCTTGCCGCCCACATCTAACCATCAAACAGTTTTCTGCCATTTGTCCTGGTCATGGGGGCAACATTTCACGTAGATCCCCAGACTCTTTGTCTCAGAGATAAATGGAGTCGTCTCGAGTCTCTCTCGCAGGTCCTGGCTCTGGCCCGGGGCCTCCTCCTGGTTCCACTCTGGGAGTACTTTAGAAACTTTGTCTGTCTGACTGTACAATTCAGCCTACTAAATTACCAATATTCCTCTCCAAAAACACCAGAAATTAATCTCTTTCCCTCCTTTTTTTCATAATTTATATGTTATTAGTGTTTACATTTTTAAAATATATTATTCTTCCAGATTAAAAATCCTCAACCGGTCTAGACTTCTTGGTGTAAGATGTGGCGATGGAGTTAAATAAGGGCGTGCTTCCACGGCATATTTTTAGAAAGCTACCTGCACATTCTGAGTCACTGCTTAGCATGTCTGCTCTGTGGCAAAGGAGGAAGTGACAAATGGTAAAAAAAACAGCAGCTCATGTCCTTAAAAAAATCAAATCAGCACAGTGGAACTTGCTACGCAAATTGGCAGTCATTCAGTTCAGGGATGACTTAACTTGAAATGTGCAATACACAGCGATGGAAAGCAGAACTTCCCCTTTGGCATGTGTGAATTATGAGGAAGAATGACAATGAGTAAAAGAGGGCGTAATACAAGTGAAACAACAGAGGATTATTTATACTGGTGTCTAAAAGATGGTCAAAAATAGATTGGATACCCTATTTAACATTAAGAGATGCGCCGTTTTAAAATATGTCATGGTAAATTCAATAGCAGCATGTGTGAAAGTAGGTTTTTTATAGGCCAGAACAGCTGAGGAGAGTGTGGTGACAACCAAACTGAGCTATATTAGCCGTTTGAACCCTCAGCTACCAGTTTTGTAAGCAATAATCACAGGCATCGCTGCACAATGAGCTTCACAAATCAAGAAAAAATTAAACAAATGTTAAAAATAAGATGTTTTCTAGCCCCCCCCAAAAAAAGCAAACATGAAATGCAGTTTTGATAACTTAAACCAGAACTCAGTGAACGCCCCGAGTTCAAAGGAGAGGAAAGGGGAATATGTCTCCTCACCTCCTTCTGTAGAAATATGTCAACAGAATGGCGCCTAACGCCAGCAGGAGGAGTACTGCCACTATCAGCCCAATCTGCAGCCCCAGGGCAGAAGCTGGAAGAGAGGCAGACAAAAAGTTAGACTTTAAAGTTCATCTCATAAACATAAAAAAATGATGACGAATGAAAACAGTACAGAACTAGAAGTGGTTTTTTACAAAAGACCAAAAATTTTTTTTTTTTTTTTTTTTTTTTTACATGTAAATCAAAAACTTTGGAACAAACAGGAAAGTTTAATGGTTTTCTTTGCTCTTCACGTGCTCTTACAGTGGAAGGACTCCAGGCTGCTAGTGTTAAGCCTTTGTCTAAGTTCTGTACCTGCACAGCCATACATGACTAAATGTTTTCAGGCTGACAGGACACGCCTTTACGATTTGGATTTTAATGATGCGTGCATGTGAAAGCAAACTACCAACACAGCGGTCCTAAGGAAAGCTGCTTTTGTACTCGAGAAACCTGTTGTGCCGTGTGTGTAGGTTCCCACTGGACTAAAAAGGGGCATTCAGCGTGATAATGATAGGTTACACAAAGATCTGCCTCTATGTTTCATTTTAGAAAACATAAAAGCTCCGCTTCTATAAACGTGAATGAAAATGTTTTCTTTGGTCTCCAGTCATTCTTCTTTTTCCAAGTATCTCACAAGCTGTATAAGCTGAAACGAATTCAAGTTTAACATAGAAGAAATCAATTATGTATGCCAAAACCTCGCACGTCAGTCAGTGTGATTTCCATTTTTAGAATTCTGCAATAACGTTTAGAAGCTTAGAAGCCTGTAAAAGCTATATTTTCTGTAAAAAACTATGGTTTTAAAATATTATTGATATAAAATTAATGAACAGGGGATTTGGAATGACCTGCAGCTTTATGTGATTGAAAATTTTCATTCTAATGCCTGAGGCTTCAGGATAAAACACACAGGGAGAGCGTCTCTGTGGGATATTGCTTTACACTGCACAGACAGGCCCTTGTAATTTTTGCCTAATCTTCTTTTCACAGGAAAACTTTAACTACACAGACACTGGAAAAATAAATAGGACGTTTTTAATAAATCTGTTGCGCCCCTTTTAAGATTCTATATACAGATGCTGCCTGAGACACAATGTAGCTCATCGGTGTCTTCTGTTAATATTCTGAGACTATGATTTTTACATTGAATCTTCAGAATGAACCGAGTGAGTCGGTCTAGGGATCTGCAGATAGTCGCCAAGAAGCCTCTGACCTGCGCCTGTGTGGCGGCCGGTGGTGGGGGAGGAACAGGCGTCTGCCTGAGCAGGGGAGGGATTCATGTGTGAGGTCTGGAGGATCAGGGTCTTCTGGTGGTCCGACAGCGCCTGGATGTTTCCCCACACTCGCAGCCACCCAGACATGCAAGAGAAGTTGGCTCCTTGGAAAAGAACGAACAGAACCATTTTTGATGGAGATTCTTAAGGCTGCGTTTTCACTTGCCTGAGATACCTTTCTTAGAAATAGCAGCTGGAAGTACATAAAGAATTCAAGTTGACATAATGATAGAAGGACTGTTAAAGCTCAGTATCAAGGACAAGCGCCTCTTATCTGTCGTGGTTGCTATGGCATCAGCACTGAGCGATGGACATCTTTTTGGAGTTGCTTTATCATTACAATTTAAAAACTGCTGTATCGTCAACAATTGTGAGCTATTTAGGTAATCAGACGGATTATTTAACATTTCTCCGGCCTGAGATATGACGATGTGGTTGAGATGTCAAAGGTCTGTTGTCTTACACGAGAATAATATATTTTTTTTTATTGAAAGGGCCTCACCTTGCAGATACAATGCAGAGATGCCACAGTGACATCTCTGCTCCAAGTAGTCAGCCACTTCTGCCACCTTTTTCCCATGAATTAAACTATTACAATCTGCAATAAACAGAAACAACTGTCAGCAAGTGCTCTAAATGCAGTATCAGTTTGTTAATCACGGCAAAAAGATCCAAAGTCACACTTTTGTTTATTCCATCATGTGAACAGTCCAGAGACCAAGCACTTAATCATCAATTTACGATTACCGAAAGTTAACCCAAGGGACAAAATCATGTAGTTAAAAGTAAAACGATCTATAAAATGCAACAGCAAACAAATGACCACCACTTATATTGTCAATGTTATAGTGTAGAACATAGGTTATTTCGTTAATGCTCGTTTTCCCTCAGCTGGTTTTGGAAACTTTCCCCAAATAGTTTTGTAATGTTAGAAAAAAAAAAAAAATCCTGTGTCTCCACCTCAGTGTGCCAGGAGTCAGCTTTTAAAACTTGACGTGTATGGTGCATTGTGTCGTCATTCCCATTGTGGCATGAATTGTTAGCTGCGGGATAAACAGATTTGTTTAATCCAGAGCAGTCTATCTGGTGTACTTCCTCAGTGGTGGGTGAAGTGAACTGAAGTCAGTAAGTGCTAACTGTAAAAGTTACCAACTTGTTAAGAGATCTCACCTCTCAGGTAAAACATATTTCCCCTCAGTGTTGACAAGGGCTCAAGAAACAAGACTATGGGTAAACCTCACAGATCAAAGTCGAAACAAGTAAATAAAAAAAAAGGTTAATCCGAACTTTTATTTAAATAAAGAGTATATTTCCTGTTTGAATTTATTTTCAAGCTTGCCAATGATCAGAGCTATGATGCTTTACCTCCTGACTGCTCTTGCCAATCTTTTGACAGTGGTCCAAGACAAAGGTCGATCTGACTGGAGAAGGCAGGGCTCGGACAGAGGTTGGTGCTGTGAGGGGTGGGAGACGAGCTGGTCCAGGATGAGGGGCTCCTAACCTCACAGCATGAACACCGGCTGAGAGAGATGGGACCGTCTCTCACTGACCTGCACAAACAGTCCATGAAGGAACACAAACAGGGGGGATGGTGGTAACAAAGTCCAAGATAAACTTACCTATCCTTATAAAGAAATAAATATGGTGAAAATGTAAACGATTCTTTGGTACATGAATCACTCACTACATTATTCAAAGGATTCTTCCCTGTGTGGTATAAATAGATAACTTAAGGCCCGCACAATAACTGATCTCATTCGGCACCTCTGTTCATGGCTGTCTTTGTAAATATACGGTTCTCGTGGTAACATCCTACCCTTCCTTTGTTATCGTACTGTATCATATATGAACACTTATCCAAGAAAAGAAAAAAAAGGTCACTATAATGTTCTCTGTCGCTGAATTCATTCAGCAACGTAATGACAATGTCACCGAGTGTTGAGTACTCCACTTAGAAAGTAAAAAAACATTTCTAGTGGCACAGAACAGGTATGTAAAAGAGCAAATGTTCTGATATTTTCATTCACAACTGTGAAAACACCGTAGACGTATTGTGTGGGTTTAACAAACTCTGACCCGTTGGGACTTGTCATGTGTTGAAGGGTGGCGTTTCTGAATAAGACTTGTTTTTATTCTCACAGATGCTTGATTTCACTGAGATCTGGGGGATGGAGGCCAAGTTGGTGGCCTTGGCCTCTTTCTCACAATCCACAATTTTGGTCACAAGCAGTTTGGACACCATAGCAGGGCACGTTTTTTCCTGAAAGGCACACCCAACAGGGAATACCACTGGTGGAAAAGTCTCTGTACGCCATCCATTACAATCTTTTACCTGATGTTAAAGCGGATCTGGAGCCAAAAAGGTTAATCTGCTGAACGCTGCCAAGATCAACACAATGCTGTTGGCCTGCCTAGTTTGCAGAGTAATAATACAAGCACCAAATCCACTACGTCACAGGAGAAAAAGTTGTGCCTTCAGACTGCTCTTCTAAAAGGCCAGAAACCCAAATTAGCATTTTTTATATATACAGTACTTTAAAACCACCATTTTACCAAGATGATAAATTCTACTTAGTGGATTCAATATTGTATTTAAACTAAATAAAAGTATAATCTTTATCAATGCCTTACTGATACAAAAAAAGCACTTGTGTCTAAATATCCATTACTTGGGCAAGATTAATAAATGAAACTGCTTTCCTTAAAAAATAAAATAAAAAAAACGATATTTACCGTAGCGCAGGCATGACTTGTCTCCCCCTGGTGGTGGACAGGGAGGACAGCAGCTGCTGGTTCTCACTGAACACCAGTACATCCCTGAGGCTGGAATTGGTCAGTGCAGTGCCGGCCCTACAGACGCTGAACAGGTCATAGCACAGGACTACTGCTCCCCGGGCCGGCACAGTGGAGCCCACCGGGAAGCTTTGATCTAGGCAGAACGAGAGAATAAAGCAGGGAGAGAGAGAGACATTTGAGGCTTCAGTTTGAAATAGGAAAAAAAGGTCCCTCTATCACCTCCCTCACCTGCTTCGGTGACATTTCCAACCACATAAAAGCCTTCGTGGTCCAGAGATCCAGTCAGGGGAAGGGCAATCACCGTCCCGCTGCGGCCCTGCTCGAACACGGAGAGGACCAGGCCCTGCAGCTCCGTCATGGGCGGCCCGCGCAACTCCACGTAGCCCCTCTGCTGGCTGTGAGAGGTCCAGTGCGCACTGACCACCTCACTGATGACAACACCCTCAGGAGCCGGAGGAGGGCGAGGGCAGCTGTTTTCCCTCAGAGGGGTGGGGGGGGCCACCTGCAACGATTGTTGGAAGTTTTGTGCTTGAACCGCTTTTAAAGTGGCCGTGACAAAGAAAAAAAATCTCTACTGCTGTACAAAGCTTTGAGCTGAACTGGATGATAAAACGTTCAACAGAAGTGACCGGTTAATTTGATTGCTAACAGCTTTATTTCTGCGTACTCACAGAGAAGGCGGACAGGTCAAAGGGGTAGAGGCCTCTGCAGCGGCTCAGAGCCTCGTCGTCAGGCAGAACCTCGGGGTCTTCCAGCAGTGGCAGCTGGCCTGGGGTCAGGGCCTTACTCAGCTCTTGTGCCTCCCTGTCCGACCCCCTCTGTCGGTACACCACTGCATCCAGCAGGCCCTTGGTAGGAATACCCCTCTGGGTGGCTGATGGCGGGCCGAAGGGGCTGCGGTACAGAGCCACGGCGTCTGGTCCGTTCTGGATGGTGTTGGGAGGCAGGCGGAGCGACGGAGCTGGCACCAAGCGGTCGCTGCCCAGCAGAAAATAGCCTTTGGCCGTCGTGAAGTGTCCGCTCAGGCTGATCTCCCGGTACGGTTTGTTGTTGTGTGCGCTGAACAGCAGGATCCAGATGCCCTGCAAAGACACCCGGCGCCCCGATGGATGCCAAAGCTCGATGTACTCGCCGTCCTCGGCGGCGCCGGGCGTGTCGGTGTTCAGCTCATTGATCAGGAAGTCGCTGTTCCCCCAGGGTGGGAGATGAGGAGGTGAATCTGTACCCCCAGGAGTCACTATGGCATAAAACACAAAAGGAAAAGACACAGAAAAAGCCTATTAGAAAATACAAATGGTATTTTCACAGCTTTCTCACACCAAATCATGAGAAACAAAAAAATGAAATTAATAAATGTTACTATCAATGAAAATTTAGAGGCGGCTCAGACAAGTTTAGAACCGGGAACCTGAATTTAAAAAGCCTTCTTAAAATGACTTTAAATAAATTTAAGAAAGCCTTCTTAAAGTCACAAATCAAACGGGGAGGAAAGTTAGCAGAAACAAAAAACAACCCTTCGTTCCCTTCACTCCAGAAGTCACGTGACCTGCGTTCCACAGCAGGGACTCAAGGCCAGCAAAAGACAGGGTGAAGTAAAACTCAGAAAAAAGACACAAATTTTGTCCAGGGGGGTAAAACACCCCCTGGACAAAGAGTTTAGAGCACAGCAGTATTTTTGTGTTCCGTTTCTGCTGAATAAAACCTTCATGTCAGCCTTGCTTTCCCAACTGGACTCCTACACAGCCAGCAGCACAGAAGAGGAGCGGACGGCCCGGGGCAGAGATTCACTCGCATCATGGCCTGTTTTCTGTGTTGCCATCAGGATGATTGCAGCCTGAGGACCAGCATGGGGAGGGTTGAAAGTAGCTTCTTCCCACAGGCCGTCCGGGTGCTCAATGAGAACACTGCTCGGGGCTCTCCTCTCTTGTCTCCACCAGTTATAATTACAAGTCAGACTCCAATCCTTGCCTCCCAACCTCTTTCAAAATCCAACCTTAAAACCAAGTCTGAACTCTTCAAAGAGCTCATTAAAGATCTGTCAGAAAGTGAAAGCCCACTAAAATGTTCTCACTTCATATTGGTGCAAAAGAGACGTCATATTGCCTGCTGTTTATGCATGTGAAAAGTACATAGAGAGAAGTCTATCTTTCCGTCTTTCTCTTTAGGAGTATTGCTAATTAATGCAGAACACTTATGTATTCCATTCAGTTTTGATTTTGCTAAAGATCTCTTTTTTCCTTGTGCATCTTAGAGCAAATCTCTCAGTGAAGCTACACGTGGCAACAACATAGATAGAGCACGGATCCATCGAAGACACTTATCTCTAATAATATAATAATAAAACACTTCCATATGGTGAGCCATAGGCTTTCTTTATTTAAAAATGAGTGAAAGTCCAACAGATGTTTTAAAATAACATACCCTAATTTCCTTCCTGGAGCACCAGACTCTGACGAATCTTTAGTTCTTAAATGTGCAATACACAATTTCACAATTTCTTTTTTTTTTCTGTTGTTCCGTTGGTGAAGGGGGGGGGGGCAATCTGTAAAATCTTGAAGGAGTCAAAACTAAACTATGGTTTTCCAATAAATAAATAAGCCTTTCTTTGTTTGTTGTGCTATTTTGTTGTTGTTGTTTCATAAACAGCTGAACTTTAATCAGTTATGAATGCTTCATTTTTTAATATGTTTTAACTAGTCTTATATTTGGTCTGATACATTATATAAAAGAGCCAGAGCCTTATCTTCTTTAAAAGCCAAATAGACCAAATAGAACATAATTCTTATAATAATTTGTCCTCAATCAAAAACATAATACAAGTCATGAGTCTAAAATACTCTGATCAAACAAATTCTAACTTTGCTGTGTAAAGAAAAAATACACACAGATGAAATACGGTCTAATATACAGTAGACTATAGTAGACTGCATACAGTCTACTATAAAAGTCAATAATGAAAACTTAAAGCAACATTTTTTTAATTATTGGGAATATTAGTTAATTTTATTGAAGTAACAAAAAAAATGATTTATCAAAAAGGTACATTTTGCATCAGAGTACTGAAACCCAAGGCTATATGAGCTAAATGTGAAGCTCACCCTATAGCCATCTAAAGGATAAACTGGACAACACGCTGCATCCAGTCGAAATGGACATGCAACGCATGTGGAAAATTCAAACACTCACCAACACTGTGAGGGCAGATCTTTGGCCAGGGGCAGTGGTTGGGCTGTCCGGGCGTTTGTGGGGCCTCCCAGAAGACACCAGGATCCCTGGTCCAGGTAGCCACACCACAGCGGCTGAGACAGAAGCCTCCCTCTCTCAAACTGATAACATATTCAAACCACAAAGGAATTATAGGAGGATAGATGAGAAATAGCTGGTGATGCACGGTGCATTCATCTCTTTATATTGTGAAAAAACAAAAGGATATTTTTTTCAGGAGGGTTGTCAAGGAAACTTGGTGCCAAAAATCTAAGTGCAAACATAATTTCAGTGTGTTGGACCGGTAGTGGGTAAAGGGCTATGTTTGACCACCGCTTAACTGTGATGACACTGCGAATCAAAGAGGAACTGAAGCTTACCGCCTCCTCTCAATAGCAAAATGCTCATAACTCAAAACTTGATCACTTGAAAGCAAACCATATTAAACAAACATGAAGTCTTTCTTTTAACTACACCTCAGGCCACTTGGTTTTCAAACATCAACATTTCTTGCCTGGTACTGAGCTGGTATGGCCGTCTGCCTGGGATGAGCGTCTCTGTGAGGTTGGCACTTGGCTTGTTTCCAGGTCCAGCAAACACAAATGCATCTAGAGGCTGTATCTGGCTAAGTGGACTCCCCACTGGGAAGTCTGTAGCTCTGCCACTGTAAATGGCCACTGCGCCAGACTCATCTCCTGAGGAAACCGCACCACGAACAAAGAGTTTATAATTGAATTAATCAGTGAATGGACAACAATTGAGGAAAGCACAATAGAGTGCTCTTTTACTGCCAAACTGAAAAACTAAAAAGCTTAATATCACACAATGCTTGATTTTAAAAGTTAAAAGACACTGTTCAGAGAACAGAGAACTGACCTTTCATGAATTTCTTCTCTATGGTCACAGAGGTCAGTCCGTTTCTGGAGGGGTCCACGTTCACGCTGACACTGACCGTGTCCGTTTTCCCATCCAGCACCACCAGCACCACAGGGCCCGCATCTGGAGCCTCCAGCAGTTCCACAAACCCAAGCACCTGTCCTCCGCCGAGCTTCAGCTCAGTGATCAGAGGGATGGACGGGGGGGTGGCCGGCGGGGTGCAGTTGTTTCGCTGACCCGGGGAGGGCGAGGACACCCTGAAGCCCCACTGGTCCTCCGAGAGCAGGCACCTCTCGATGGACTCGTCCCCCTCCAGGGCGGCCTCGTCCTCCACAAAGGCCGGCTCCCCGGGCGTCAGCATCTCGGCCAGAACCTCGGCGCCCCCGGTGCGGCGGGTCATGTAGACGACGGCGTCCACCAGCCCCACCGCGGTGACGTTCATCTTTTCGCTGTAGCGGGCGGCAGAGCTGTGGTAGAGGACCACGGCGTCCGGCCCGTTCTGGACCGTGTTGGGAGGCAGAAGGATGGCCGGTTTGGGGAGCATTTCCACCGAGCCCACCAAGAAGAAACCCCTGTCGTCCGTAGAGTGGCCCTTAAGGTCCAGCACCTTGTAGGCTATGTTGCCATTGCCGTTGTAGAAGACGAGCGTGTAGCCGTCCAGGGAGCCGCGCTGCCCACTGGTGTGGTACAGCTCCACAAACTCAGTAGTGTCCAGTCTGGGGTTGTCCGCGTTGATCTCGCTGATGATGAGGCAGGGGTCACTGCTAACTGCCCCCAGCAGGCAGAGACAGAGGGCACCCGCTAAACTGACCAGCATCGTTACAGTTTCTGTGAAATGCCTCCACGGCAGGGAAGCTTCTGTAAGACTAAAAAAAAGCAGAAGAAAAAAGAAAAACCACCAGTTGCATTACTCAACACACAAAAAAATAGAAATCAAAAAGAAATCACAAAGGGAGTAAACTGTGGTGAATACTATTAAAAGAAAGAAAGAAAAAAAAGGCTGTTCCAAGTCATTTCATTATTTGACCCCTTTTATAGCGGATTCACGAGCAGAAAACCTCCAAATTTCGTGAATGGCTCCTCTATGGGTCTATTTTCTGTTCATGGTGACATTGGCAATGCACGTCTTCTGCATGAGTCATGACATGTTGCGAAACTCACTGGCAAGCAGATGGAAACTTTGCATGAAATATAGAAAAGCTTCTGGGTGTGATTCAATAGGATTAAACAACTCCATGGACGGGGGTGGGGGGGCTGGGGGGGGGGGGGGGGGTTGAAGACGCTATGTTTCAAAAGATGTACTTCAGCACAGCATGATGCAATTTGAATATTCAAAGTCTTCCCCCCCAAAAAAACCCTGAATATCCACCGAGCAGAAA